TCTGAGGGAATACGACAGAGTGAGGTGGGAAATTGAAAGCAGGCTTTGTTCATGAACAGAAAGAGAGACTGAATCTGAAAGAAAAACAAGAATTTACAAGCTCAGTAACAACTGTATCACATAGACTCAGCTGGAGCCAAAAAGACAAACACACACACAGAAAGTAAATACATGCATGTGCACACAAACACAGTTTATATTATTCTCATTTACACTTCCCCAAAGATGGTTTTGTGGAAGTATGACATATAATAATACTATTTCTACATAAACAAGCCAAGGGGATGTCTTCAGATGTCTTCTACCATCTGGCCTACAGTCCAAAACCCAAAGATATTCAGTTTAATGGCATATTAGACTAAGAAAAGCAACACAATGTCATATTTGAGAGGCTAGAACCAGGGACACTTTTCTGTCCATCAATTAACTGACTAATTGTTTCAGCACAAGTCTGACTAACTAGTTTGACCCCTGGGGGGAAACCTCAACCAAGATCCTGATTCTGTTTACGTAGACTTAAGATAAGTTTGTGCTTATGCTTTGTTGCAGTCTTATCCTGTTTGGAGCACACATACAGATCTGGAGTCTCAATTAAGCTGCAATATGGATCAGAAAAAAAACACATTTGAACAAAGAAAAGAGTTGTGACATCCACACTCAGACGTCTGTAAAATATCCCACCTGTTTCTGTGTCCTCTGCGGCCGGTCTGGACTGAGCCTGAGGAAACTGGACCAGCAGAACCAGCAGGATGCAGGGTAGCAGCAGCTTGAAGCAACAGGGGGACGGCATTGTGTCCTGAAACGTCAACTTACTGAGACTTCCAGACTGCCAACTCACTGCAAGAGAGGAGAGTGACCTGATACGATGTACAGATAAGAATAAATGAGTAGGAGATTTAGAGGATGGGTTACAGGTTTGGAGGTGTTTATGCTGCAGGTTTCCACAACTGACTGGAATAGTGAGTCATGCTTACTCCACATATTTCATCCCTCAGTCACTGAACTGTAACAGTCTCATTAACCAAACTGCTGCTGGGAAATGACAGAGTAGTCAAACAAAGATGTAGCTGTTGTTGAACTAATAACAGACAAATATTGTATTTAACTCACATATTAATGACAGTATTCTGTTAGCAACAGTACACAATATTTTTAATGCAGGAAATTTACCTGTAATGGAGTATTTTATAGTATAGCATCACTTGTAAAAATAAAGCAGCTTAAAAGTTGTAGAAAACATATATTTTAAAGGACAATTCCGGCGCAAAATGAACCTGGGGTTAATAACATGTGTACCGAGTTGGTTCGGTCTCTGTCTCTATGTTTTCATTCTAATCGACTGTGACCAGTTTTAGCACAAACCGCTAATTAGCTTATAACGCTGGTCAACGGGGCATCGAGTAAAGTGAAAAGAAATCTATTTCTATTCCACTAACAAGACTCAAAATAGCACCACACTTACACGGTAGCATAATGAGGGCCCCTACTTGTAAACCGAAGCATTGAGAACTTTGTAGGTGTACAGACAGTTTATTAAGAAGATAGTTTAGAACAACAGTAGCGTTCATGCAGGTCAAATGGAGCCGTACCTGTGTCAGCTGGTCCACAGTATGCTGTTATATCCAAGGACGTGAAGTCACAGTTGGTAAATCAAAGGTTACATTCCCTTAAAAACATTAGCTGCTGTTCTGTTTCTGGGAATTGAAAATCATCGACTGAATCCACCTTTTTTTAACTGTGTGCTTCTTGAAAATATGGAGAGCCAAATGTGTCACAATTCGTCTCAATTTCCCTGGCGTTTGTAATTGCCATCAGACATTTATAGATGTGTTCTAATTGCATTTTTTCTACAAAATTATAAACAGAATTAAAATTTATACATGGAAACTACTTCTATAGAGTAAGGAGTCTTAAAATTATATTGTTTTTTTGAGCATTTTTGAATGAAAAAACACATTTTTAGTTAGAATCCTGAATCGTAAATACATGTCCTATACCTAAACCTGCGTGAATATTGGTTGTAAATGAATCGATTTATAATGATTTTAATTGTGGATAAATCTCCTGCCTTGACTGATATACACACACATTGTTCATGATGTCTAAAAGTGCGGGGCTTTGATTTTGTCTCAACTTTCTCCAGAACTGCTCATCCAAACAACTTTATACTGGATAATGCTCTCCCTTTGGTCCTCAGCAGTACACTCACCAAGATACAATAAATAAAGTTAAATTAAATGAATGGTGGAGATTAGAGCACCGTTTATAAATAATAATACTTTAAATGTCAGGGAAACTGAGACCAATTGTGACACTTTTGGTATTCCATACCAGCCGCTTGCTTCTGGAGAGAAAAACATGGTAAAGTTCAATGACCTAAACTTTTTCAGTGGGTGTTTCTACCCACATATTTGATTAATACCCCTGTACCATCAGTAAAATGCCTGGACCTTGTTCTCCTCCTCCCCCAGGAAGACTCCTGCACTGTGTGTTCAGCTCCCTACTCTTTGTCTGGCAGGAGCAGGAAGGGAAATGGTTTCTGTCTGAAAACCACAAACCACAGAACATTTACTGAAGTAAAAGTACTAATAGCACTACGTACTGCACTTAAATACATGCTGAGCTGGACTATGTGGGAGTTGAACATATGTTTATATTACTTTGGTTCATTTGAAACCTATTATTCAATGCAATTCAATTCAATTCAATTCAATTCAGTTTTATTTGTATAGCGCCAATTCATAACAGAAGTTATCTCAGGACACTTTTCAAATAAAGCAGGTCTAGACCGAACTCTTTATAACATTATTTACAGAGACCCAACAGTACCACCATGAGCAAGACCTTGGCGACAAGGGCAAGAAAAAACTGCCTGTTAAAAGGCAGAAACCTAGGACAGATCCTTCGGCTCTAGGTGGGTGGGAGAGAGAGAGAGACAGAGAGAGACAGACAGACAGACAGACAGGTGCACAGTAACAACAGTATTGGCAATGGCAATCTAGCAGGACCATGGCAGGAGGCTCCACCAGGATCGATAAGAACCTGCGAGACGAGAAAGCACAAGAACTCCGGGGAAGAAGTGAAGTTAGTAACATGCATTAATGGGACATGAATGAGTGCAGAAAGAGAGAGGAAGAGAGGAGCTCAGTGCACCATGGGAAATCCCCCGATAGTCTAGGCCTATAGCAGCATAACTAAGGGATGGTTCAGGACTCACCTGATCCAGCTCTAACTATAAGCTTTATCAAAGAGGAATGTCTTAAGCCTACTCTTGAATGTGGTGAGGGTGTCTGCCTCCCGAACCACAACTGGAAGCTGGTTCCACAGGAGAGGAGCTTGGTAACTGAAGGCTCTGGCTCCTGTTCTACTTTTAGATACTATAGGAACCACAAGTAGCCCAGCATTCAGAGAACGTAGTGTTCTAGTAGGGTAATAGGGTACTATGAGCTCTTTAAGATGTGAATGTACATTTTATAATTCTAAATCAGTGTTTATTATTATTACTATTATTTATTATGTAAGAAAAGCATAAAAAACACATAATTGAACGGCAAACAACAGATTTATTAGTTTTCCAGAGAATAAAAAAAGGCATGTGAATAGAAATTATATGTACATGTGTTTTGACATTCAAAATTCTAATCTTAATTACACAGCAGCCAATAAGAAAGGTCAAACCATAACCATCCTCATGAATTATTCTAACGGAAAACAATCCCTTGAGGGCCTTCAAATTAAATTAGTTAAAAGTCTTTGGAAGTTAGTGAGAGCCCTGCGCCTGGTGTTTCTCTGCCAGTTTCTTCACTGCGGGCTGCAGAGAGGTAAATATCAGCCATGGTGCACCTGAAGCCATCAAATCCAAGAGATTGCAGTTCTTGGACTACAAGAGGACCTGACTGAATCCCTGGTCAACTAGATAAATGGTCAGGAAAGCAAGAGGAAGCAGCCGGGGCCTCGTTTCTAAAACTCAGAATATATGTATATATATTTTATACATATATATATATGTATAAAACTGTTGAGCGCATACCTGTACGCAGTATTCACTTGGGTATACCCAGCTGTGGTCAAAACGGTGTCTTCCGACAATTACCCATAAATGGTCAATAATAGATCATGAACGTACCGATCTGTTTAAGGAACCTTTGTTGGACGAGCAATAAGTGAAAGACACAGCTTACCAACGAAGCCTGACAGCCTGCTGAGGAGACTAAACCCAAAATGTATGGAATAACTGCTGACGTTAGGAGCTGATAAAATGTCGTCTCACATTACAACATTGTCATACTATTCCACATTGTGAATTTAACCAAAAGTAAATATAAAATCATTCTTATTCTATTTTTTATTTAACCTTGAATTTTGTATTGTTTTTTTTTTTTCCTGTGTGGTGTGTTTGGGGCGGGGGCGCCAGAAAAATAAACCACCCCGGAATAAAAAAAAAATAAATATTATTTTTTATAAAAAAAAAAAACTCTAATAAAAAAAAAAAAAAAAAAAAAAAAAAAAAAAAAAAAAAGAGAAGAGGGGAGAAAACGCAAACCTCCCACCCTCCTAAGGCCCCGCGGCCCCCAAAAAAAAAAAAAAAAAAAAGAAAGGTATAAAAAGGTAGGGAAAGGGGTTTAGGTTTTTGGTGGGGGTGGGGGGGGATTTATAAAAATAAAATAAAAAAATAAAAAATTTTTAATTTTTTTTTATAGAAGGAAAAAAAGAAAAAAAAAAAAAAAAAAAATTAATTAAAAAAAAAAAAAATAAAAAAAAAAAAAAAAAAAAAATTTTATAAAAAAAACCTTTAAAAGGGGAAGAAAAAAAAAAAAAAAAAAAAAAAAAAAAAAAAAAAAAAAAAAAAAAAAAAAAACAAAAATAATTTAGAAAATATAATAAATGTATTTTTAAAAAAAGGAAACCCCCCCCCTCAAAGAAAAAAAAAAAAAAGAGGCAGAAAGGCAAAACGGAAAACCAAGAAAAAAAAAAAAAAGAAAAAAAGATGGTGGAGTGTGGAGGTGGATCAGTGTGTCAGAGGAGACTCTGTAGAAGGACAGAGTGCCAGCAGGACAGTCAACATACACTGCTACTCTACCAGAGGAGGAGGAGGAGGAGGAGATGGATGTACCTCTCTTATTGTGCCAGACATAGTACCGACCATCCTCAAAGCAACTCAGTCTCCAGGACTGATCGTTCTCTCCAAACCGGCATTGAGTTCTGTCTCCACTCCTGCTGATTCCTCTGTAACTCACTGATATATAAACTCCTCCACTCCACTCCACCTCCCAGTAACAGCGACCAGTCAGAACATTTCTACACAGCAGCTGAGGACAGTCAAATCTGTCTGAATTTTCAGGATATGACTGATCCTCCTTCACATGAATCATCTTCCTGTTGTTGTCAGACAGTTTGATCTCTCTGTTCACTGTGTTTGTGTCGACTGTGAGTTCACAGGAATCTGATGGAGAGAACAAGACACAATACAGCTGCAGTTATTGATCTATCATCTGATCATTGATTGACACTTTGATGATTACATCAGAGCTTTGAATGAGTGATGTCACAGTGTGAAGATGGTTGAATGTGTGCTGCTTTGTTTTCACACTTACACTTCCTCAGACCTGGTCTCAACCATCGGACTCCAGCAGGCTCCACCCTGAAAGGAGGAGGGGGGTCAGACCAGCACATCCTCTTTCAGCATGCAAACATTACATCACTTGCACTTATACGTTCACATGTATAACTTAATAGCAAAACAAAAACCTAAACATATCAGCTGATATTTGTGCTACATTTCATGAGTTTCGGACCATTGTCTGACTGTCTGTGGCTGCAGCAGGCCTCTTCCTACCTGAGAGTGTCCAGTCCCCACTGTGGATCCTCCAGTGCAGCAGACAGCGTCTTCACTCCTGACTCTCCTGGATGATTGTAGCTCAGGTCCAGCTCTCTCAGATGGGAGGGGTTGGAGCTCAGAGCTAAGGCCAGAGAAGCACAGCCTTCCTCTGTGATCAGACAGCCTGACAGCCTGCAAACACACAACACAGATTACAGTTTGTCTAAAACTACTGTGAGGGTTGGGGTAGTGGTATCGACTAATGGAGAGCAATATTCATTGAGAACACAGACTTAAGATCCTAAAAAGAAATTCTAGTTTTTTGAATCCTGACGAGAAAGGAAGTTTAAAGGACCAGTGTGGAGGAACTAGTGTTGAAGGTGGAGATTAAAACCAACTGAATTCTGAGTTTGTTCAGTTTGTCTTTTCTGGCAACTGTACAAACACAGCGGTTCAACACGGTGGATTTGCTCTAGAACAGCTCATTCTAAGGTAACGGAAACTCAATGATTCATATTTTTAGGTAATTATACACTAATGTAAACATACTTATGAATATTATATTACATTTCTGCCAATAGATCTTATTAAATGTTACACAGTGTACCTTTAAACCACATATAGTCATTTAAGAAAAAAATAACTTGATCTGACCTGAGAGTTTCCAGTGTACAATGTGGACTCTCCAGGCCAGCAGACAGAAGCTTCACTCCTGAATCCTGCAGGTTGTTGTTACTCAGGTCCAGCTCTCTCAGGCTAGAGGACTGGGAGCTGAGAACTGAGGACAGAGCTTCACAGCTTCTCTCTGAGAGGTTACAGCCACTCAGTCTGGAAAGACAACAGTAAAGTTAAAACAAAAGTACTAATTGTTCTTATCTGCTGAAAACATCATTTTGTAGTCAAATATTTTCAGTTAAAGCAAATATCTACGTCCTTACAGAGACTTCTTGGAGGCTTTGACCACTGGCAGCAGCCTCAGAAGAGCATCCTCTGAAGCAGAGTATTTCTTCAGGTCAAACACGTCCAGATCTTTTTCTGATGACAGTAAGATGAAGACCAGAGCTGACCACTGAGCAGGAGACAGTTTATCTGTAGAAAGTCTTCCTGATCTCACGAACTGTTGGATCTCCTCGACAAGAGAGGAATCTTTTAGTTCATTCAGACAGTGAAACAGATCAATTTGTTTCTTGATGTACTGGACTATATCCTGATTAGTTTCTGAGCTACTTCCTGTTTGTGGCAGCAGGCCTCGTAGGAGACCTTGATTGGTCTGCAGTGAAAGTCCCAGGAGGAAACGGAGGAACAAGTCCAGGTGCTCATTTGGACTCTGTAAGGCCTTGTCCACAGCACTCTGGTAGAACTGTGTCTCTGCAGATTCATATTTTCTTGTTTCAGATGTCTGGGAGGTTGATTGTTCTTCTGACAGCAGATTGACTCCAGAGCTGATGAATGTCAGATGGACATGAAGAGCAGCCAGAAACTCTTTATGAACAAGTTCCACCAAGCTGAACTTTTTCTCTTTCAGCACATTCAGCTCTCTGAAAGTGAATGGAAATATGAACTGTATGTCCTGGTTGGCTTTGTCTTCAGCCCAGTCCAGAGTGAACTTCTGTGTTAAGACTGTTTTCCCAATGCCAGCCACTCCCTTTGTCATCACTGTTCTGATTGGTTCATCTCTTCCAGGTGAGGGTTTAAAGAAGTCTCCCTGTCTGATTCTTGTTTCTGGTCTGTTTGGTTTCCTGGATGCTGTTTCAATCTGTCTGACCTCATGTTCATCATTGACCTCTGCAGTCCCTCCCTCTGTGATGTAGAGTTCTGTGTAGATCTGGTTCAGTGGGGTTGGCTTTCCTCCTTTAGCAATCCCCTCAAACACACACTGGAACTTCTTCTTCAGGTTAGATTTTAGTTTTCGCTGACAATCAGAATTACTTTCTGAATAAACACACAACAAATAAGATCATTAAGGGAACTAATGGATAAATAAACATATATCCTTCATCTGTTGAGACATCAGTAAATGTCTCATTTATCCAGCGAGTTAAATCTTTAGAGAAATCCTCTTACCGATCTGCAGACGGTCAGCCAGCTCCTCCTGCATCTAAGCATTCTGGGTAACCTGAACTTAGACCCTTTTAATCTTCTTCAGCTCGTTCTTCACAAAAGTGACAATGTTGTCCTCCAGCAGCTGGAACAGAATATTATATGAATGACTCAATCAAAGTCAAATCATGGAAGCAAACATCAGATCCATGTTGGACAGACTGACAATCCACTGGTCTAAAAAGTGCAGCATGGAGATTATTGTGAACACTATAGATGTAAAAGTAGTTGTTGTCCATGTACAGACCATAAATATGGAGTCCAGGTGTGTTTGATGCTGCTGGGCAGACTGACCACTGGGAACCTCTGAGCTCTCCTGGTCCACTCTGTGGAGGAATCATGAAGAATGAGCTCACATTATGTCTGTCCACACAGAGACAAACACAAGGTAAAGGTCCTTTGAGGACAAGTGTTGATTACAACATTGAATCAGATGTTTTACCCTGACATTGACATTGACAACAACTGTTGGTCATAGTGCTGATCCCACTGAGAATCAACTGTTCCGCCCAGTTTGCATTTTTGTCCAGCTTTCAGTTTACTGTGTTGGTTCACCAAGATGTCTGGTTTAATACTGTGGACAGAAATGCTCACTGTAGCTACTTGGATGCTACCTGTCCAGTAAGGATTGGTAGTGAGTCAAAAGAAACTTGTATGGGGCACCCTGGTAGCTCACCAGGTAAAGCAGGCGTCCAATGTACTTAAAGTGAGTCTTTGTTGAAGAGGCCATGTATTTGACTCAGACCTGTGGCCCTTTGCTGCGTGTCATACCCCTTTTCCTGCCAGTCTACAGTTGTTACTATCCATTAAAGGCAATAAAAGCACCAACATATTAAAAACCAAAAAGAATATTACACCAAATATACAGAATAATGCAGAAAAACGTGACTCAAACACCAGAGAATATTGGACCGAAACAGAGAATAGTGGTCCAAAGCCAAACAGGTTCAAAAGGGAAGTTAACCGACAACAGATGTCTGAACAGAAATGTAAGTGACTAAAACGTGACTCCCCCTCAGTGCACACTGCTGAAGAACAGCACAGCAAAGCACCTCCAGTGGAGTTGGTCAGTGTGTGGTTGTATCAGACTGCTTGTCCTGGGCTCCCACTGTGAATGTGTTTGACTGTGTGAGTGTGAGGCTGCTGGAAAAGATCATTGGTGCTCAGAGAGCTTCCATATAAGTCAGTAAAGGCTAAAAAACTGAGAATCTGATACAAACACATTTTGGTTTGGTCTTAAATCCTCACCTTTGATGAAAAGAGTGACGTCCATCTTTGGAGGACTTGGGACTATCCACAGTCCTGTCACTCTTCATGGACACATCGCTGTGTTCTGGTTCTTCCAGCTTATTCCTGACAGAAACACATAAAAAACAACATATAATATGCACCCAGAACACAGTAAAACAATGTATTTTGTCCTGCCAACCAGCAGAACTGTTTCCTACTTTATACTGGTTATACTGGTGATTCTGGTCAGCTTTAAGACGTGGGAATATAAATGTAAGTGAAGAAGAACGATGCTGATAATAAGTGTAGGCGCCAGCTAGTATTGCTTTAGGGTTTGTTGCTATGGTCACATACGGGGATGTGGGTCACGTGGTGGTGCATCAGCCAGGTAGAGAAATCAGCTGTTCACCTGGGGAATGAATGAACTGAGAGGGTGAGGGGGGCAGTCGTACTTTTGTTGACCGCATGATCTCGGAAATACACTAGACTCAATGTTTTTATGGACTGTGGGAACACTCACCGTTTGTGTTTTAGCAGCAATAAATATGCATAAATCAGCAATTGAGAGATCTTTTTATTGAACAACCAGTGCGTCTGGCAGGTAAAGTTTTTCCCCTGCTTAGCCTCTCGGCGACCATATTGTTTGTTTGATAGTTGCTGAACACTGAGTAAACATACAACAAAACTAAAAACATAAATGAGATATATCTTAATGTTATTGACAGTTTACCTCTTTGCATCAGGCAGTTGTTGTTCTTTAAAATTAATGAGGAAATCATTGGACAGGTTGCTCTTGAGGGACACACAGCTGGGTTCAGGTCCAGGTCCAGGTCCAGGTCCAGGTCCAGCAGAATCTGCTGTGTTCTGCTGCTCTGGGCTTCAACACAACACACACAGAGCTTTGAGTGTGAATAATGATGGTGCAGTGATCTGAGTGCTGAGCTGTGACATGGAGAAGAGTCATGGACAGTTAGAGATCCTCATCTCACCTCTGAGCTTTGGTCCTTGTGTCATGTTCCCCCACCGAGGCCTCTTAGAGGAGAGATTGATGTGAAATTACAGAAAGGTAATGCTGTAATGTAATCACATAATTACCTATTATTAAAAACCTTTTCAGAATGATTACTGCAACTCAGTAGCCAGTAAATTAGGTGTACTACATTAAACTACTGTAATTTTACATCAACAAATTGGCCCATTTTTCACTGTAGGTTGGGTTAGATTTAAAGAACACATACACAAATATATTTATAGTTCATCATCTTTATTTACAATTCACAGTACATTATATACTGTACATTTTAAGAAAATATATTCAAAATTATTTAGAAAACAAGAGCAAATTAAAAATACATAAAAATGTATCACCAATATAAACTTTCTTAATAAAGATTTGCATCAAAACATGAATTTTAGCATTCTGCAAAAAGTGTTTGCAAGCTGTGATATCTGCCAGGGGTTTTACTAAGTACTGACAGTGTCGGGTGCCTAAATCTTTGCATACAATTGTACTTCATTACTAATGATTACTATAGTAGAATATGTACAATACTGCAGACTTTTATTTCACCAAGCTTTCATCAACATCTAAAAGACAGTCCCACATTGACTGTAGACTCAACTTTCTACAGAGAACACAGAGACACTGAGGAAGCATATGAACCAGATTTAAACCAGAACCCAAACCCAGGATAAAGAGGTTGAGTGAATGTGGTGTTGAAGGTGTGGAGATGGATCAGTGTGTCAGAGGAGACTCTGCTGTAGAAAGACAGAGTGCCAGCAGGATAGTCCACATACACTGCTACTCTGTTAGAGGAAGAGGAGGAGGAGGAGGAGGGGGGGGAGGAAGAGGAAGAGGAGGAGGAGATGGATGTTCCACTCTGATTGTGCCAGACAGAGAAACAACCATCTTCAAAGCAACTCAGCCTCCAGGAATGACGATTCTCCCCAAACCTGCAGTCTTCACTGTCTCCTCTTCTGCTTATTCTTCTGTAACTCACTGAAATATGAATGTCCCCTCTCCACTCGACCTCCCAGTAACAGCGACCAGTCAGACCATTTGTACACAGCAGCTGAGGACATTTCTCAAATCTGTCTGGATGATCAGGATATGACTGATCCTCCTTCACATGAATCATCTTCCTGTTGTCGTCAGACAGTTTGATGTTTCTGTTCACTGTGTTTGTGTCGACTGTGAGTTCACAGGAATCTGATGGAGAGAACAAGACACAATACAGCTGCAGTTATTGATCTATCATCTGATCATTGATTGACACTTTGATGATGACATCAGAGCTGTGAATGAGTGATGTCACAGTGTGAAGATGGTTGAATGTGTGCTGCTTTGTTTTCACACTTACACTTCCTCAGACCTGGTCTCAACCATCGAACTCCAGCAGGCTCCACCCTGAAAGGAGGAGGGGGGTCAGACCAGCACATCCTCTTTCAGCATGCAAACATTACATCACTTGCACTGATACATTCACATGTATAACTTAATAGCAAAACAAAACCTAAACATATCAGCTGATATTTGTGCTACATTTCATGAGTTTCAGACCATTGTCTGACTGTCTGTGGCTGCAGCAGGCCTCTTCCTACCTGAGAGTGTCCAGTCTCCACTGTGGATCCTCCACTGCAGCAGAGAGCAGCTTCACTCCTGAGTCTCCTGGATGATTGTAGCTCAGGTCCAGCTCTCTCAGATGGGAGGGGTTGGAGCTCAGAGCTGAGGCCAGAGAAGCACAGCCTTCCTCTGTGATCAGACAGCCTGACAGCCTGCAAACACACAAAACAACAAGAGTGTGTTTGTTTAAGAATTTTGACATAATCAATAGAATCCTGAGATTAAAACCACATAGAGATCATAGTTTACGTCTCAAGTCATACACAACAAAAATAACTTGATCTGACCTGAGAGTTTCCAGTGTACAATGTGGACTCTCCAGTCCAGCACACAGAAGCTTCACTCCTGAATCCTGCAGGTTGTTGTTACTCAGGTCCAGCTCTCTCAGACTAGAGGACTGGGAGCTGAGAACTGAGGACAGAGCTTCACAGCTTCTCTCTGAGAGGTTACAGCCACTCAGTCTGGAAAGACAACAGTAAAGTTAAAAAGCTTAATTGTTCTCTCCTGCTGAAAACTTGGTTGTTTATTTAAAATATTTTCAGTATATGCAAATATCTACATCCTTACAGAGACTTCTTGGAGGCTTTGACCACTTGCAGCAGCCTCAGAAGAGCCTCCTCTGAAGCAGAGTATATCTTCAGGTCAAACACGTCCAGATCTTTTTCTGATGACAGTAAGATGAAGACCAGAGCTGACCACTGAGCAGGAGACAGTTTATCTGTAGAAAGTCTTCCTGATCTCACGGACTGTTGGATCTCCTCGACAAGAGAAGGATCTTTTAGTTCATTCAGACAGTGAAACAGATTGATGCTTCTTTCTGGACACGGGTTGTCCTCAATTTGTTTCTTGATGTACTGGACTATATCCTGATTAGTTTCTGAGCTACTTCCTGTCGGTGGCAGCAGGCCTCGTAGGAGAGCTTGATTGGTCTGCAGTGAAAGTCCCAGGAGGAAACGGAGGAACAAGTCCAGGTGCTCATTTGGACTCTGTAAGGCCTTGTCCACAGCACTCTGGTAGAACTGTGTCTCTGCAGATTCATCTTTTCTTGTTTCAGACTTCTGGGAGGTTGATTGTTCTTCTGACAGCAGATTGACTCCAGAGTTGGTGAATGTCAGATGGACATGAAGAGCAGCCAGAAACTCCTGAACACTCAGATGGACGAAGCAGAAGACCTTGTCCTGGTACAGTCCTCTCTCCTCTTTAAAGATCTGTGTGAACACTCCTGAGTACACTGAAGCTGCTCTGATATTGATGCCACACTCTATCAGGTCTGATTCATAGAAGATCAGGTTGCCTTTCTGCAGCTGCTCAAAAGCCAGTTTTCCCAGAGACTCAATCATCTTCCTTGTCTCCGGACTCCAGTGTGGATCTGTCTCAGCTCCTCCATCATACTTGATGTTCTTCACTTTGGACTGAACCACCAGGAAGTGGATGTACATTTCAGTCAGGGTCTTGGGCAGCTCTCCTCCTTCTCTGGTGTTCAACACATCCTCCAGAACTGTAGCAGTGATCCAGCAGAAGACTGGGATGTGGCACATGATGCGGAGGGTTCGTGATGTCTTGATGTGGGAGATGATTCTGCTGGCCTGCTCCTCATCTTTGAACCTCTTCCTGAAGTACTCCTTCTTCTGTTGATTAGTGAACCCACTGACCTCTATCACCATGTCAACACATTCAGGAGGGATCTGATTGGCTGCTGCAGGTCGTGAGGTTATCCAGAGGCGAGCAGAGGGAAGCAGTTTCCCCCTGATGAGGTTTGTCAGCAGCACATCCACTGAGGTGGACTCTGTAACATCAGTCAGGATCTTTGTGTTGTGGAAGTCCAGAGGAAGTCGACACTCATCCAGACCGTCAAAGATGAACACAACCTGGAACTCTTCAAACCTGCAGATTCCTGCTTCTTTGGTTTCACTAAAGAAGAAATGAACAAGTTCCACCAAGCTGAACTTTTTCTCTTTCAGCACATTCAGCTCTCTGAAAGTGAATGGAAACATGAACTGTATGTCCTGGTTGGCTTTGCCTTCAGCCCAGTCCAAAATGAACTTCTGTGTTAAGACTGTTTTTCCAATGCCAGCCACTCCCTTTGTCATCACTGTTCTGATTGGTTCATCTCTTCCAGGTGAAGGTTTAAAGATGTCTTCTTGTCTGATTCTTGTTTCTGGTCTGTTTGGTTTCCTTGATGCTGTTTCAATCTGTTTCACCTCATGTTCATCATTGACCTCTGCAGTCCCTCCCTCTGTGATATAGAGCTGTGTGTAGATGTCGTTCAGAAGGGTTGGCTTTCCTCCTTTAGCAATCCCCTCAAACACACACTGGAACTTCTTCTTCAGGTTAGATTTAAGTTTACACTGACAATCAGAATCACTTCCTGAATGAACACACAACAAATAAGTTTAGTTTATTAAATGATTTTAAAGTAAATATGAAAATGTCATTCCCCTAAAGAATGCAAATATATATAAACAGATTTTCCTCTGTCTGTTAGTTGAGTAGTAGTCATGTTAGTAAATGTCTCATTTATCCAGCGAGTTAAATCTTTAAAGACATCCTCTTACCGATCTGCAGACGGTCAGCCAGCTCCTCCTGCTTCATTCTCCTCAGGAAGTGCACTGTGATCTTCAGAAAAGCCTCTCTACTGCTCCTCCTCTGCACTTCATCCTCACTGTCCAACACCTCCTCATCCTCCCTTTGACTATCTAAGCATTCTGGGTAACCTGAATTTAGACCCGTTTTAATCTTCTTCAGCTCGTTCTTCACAAAAGTGACAATGTTGTCCTCCAGCAGCTGGAACAGAATATTATATGAATGACTCAATCAAAGTCAAATCATGGAAGCAAACATCAGATCCATGTTGGACAGACTGACAATCCACTGGTCTAGAAAGTGCAGCATGGAGATTATTGTGAACACAATAGATGTAAAAGTAGTTGTTGTCCATGTACAGACCATAAATATGGAATCCAGGTGTGTTTGATGCTGCTGGGCAGACTGACCACTGGGAACCTCTGAGCTCTCCTGGTCCACTCTGTGGAGGAATCATGAAGAATGAGCTCACATTATGTCTGTCCACACAGAGACAGACATCAGTTAAAGGTCCATGAAAACATAGAACATTACACCAAATCGTGGCTATACAGAATTATGCAGAAAAATGTGACTAAAACACCAGAGAGTATTGGACCAAACCAGAGAATAGTGGTGCAAAGCCAAACAGGTTGAAAAAGGGAAGTTAATCAACATTGTTTTTGAAGGATCAGACGAACTGGGAAGCAGCACAGGCCTTCAGGTTAGGGAGGTGTGCTTAAAGGTCATCAGTCGAGCTTCTTTACTGACAACAAATGTCTGAACAGAAATGTAAGCGGCTAAAACTTGACTCTCCCTAATTGCACACTGCTGAAGAATAGCACAGCATAGCACCTCCAGTGGAGTTGGTCAGTGTCTGTTGTATCAGACTGCTTGTCCTGGGCTCCCACTGTGAATGTGTTTGACTGTGTGAGTGTGAGGCTGCTGGAAAAGATCACTGGTGCTCAGAGAGCTTCCATATAAGTCAGTAAAGGCTAAAAAACTGAGAATCTGATACAAACACATTTTGGTTTTCTTGGCATTCTTAAATCCTCACCTTTGATGAAAAGAGTGATGTCCATCTTTGGAGGATGTGGGACTATTCACAGTCCTGTCACTCTTCATGGACACATCGCTGTGTTTTGATTGTTCCAGCTTCCTCCTGATGGAAACACATAAAAAACAACATATAATCTGCACCCAGAACACAGTAAAACAATGTATTGTGGATACATTTCACAAAACAATTTCCTCATTGTTTTGTCCTGCCAACCAGCAGAAGTGTTTCTTACTTTATACTGGATATACTGGTGATACTGGGCAGCTTTCAGACGTGAGAATATAAATGTAAGTGAAGAAGAACAATGTTGATAATAAACAAAACTAAAAACATAAACGAGATATATCTTAATGTTATTGACAGTTTACCTCTTTGCATCAGGCGGTTGTTGTTCTTTAAAATCAATGAGGAAATTATTGGACGAGTCACTCTTGAGGGACACACAGCTGGGTTCAGGTCCAGGTCCAACAGAGTCTGCTGTGTTCTGCTGCTCTGGGCTTCAACACAACACATACAGAGCTTTGAATGTGAATAATGATGGTGCAGTGATCTGAGTGCTGAGCTGTGATGTGGAGAAGAGCCATGGACAGTTAACATTGAATCAGATATTTTCCCCTAAACTGTTGGTCATACTGCTGATCCCACTGAGAATGAACAGTTCTGTCCAGTCTGCATTTTTGTCCAGCTTTCAGTTTACTGTGTTGGTTCACCAAGTCTGTCTGGTTTAATACTGTGGACAGCACATGCACAGCTCAATGCAGCTTGGATGCTACCTGTCCAGTAAGGATTGGTAGTGAGTCAAACAAAACTTATATGGGGCACCCTGGTAGCTCACCAGGTAAAGCAGGCGCCCCTTGTACTTAAGCTGAGTCATTGTTGCAGAGGCCATGGATTTGACTCTGACCTGTGGCCCTTTGCTGCATGTCATACAGATGGTACTATCCATCCAAGGCAATAAAAGTACCAAAATATTAAAAACCAAAAATGGAGAAGAGTCATGGACAGTTAGAGATCCTCATCTCACCTCTGAGCTTTGGTCCTTCTGTCATGTTCCCCCCACCGAGTCCTTTTAGAGGGAAGGACTTCCTCCTCTCTGTCCTCACACTGACTCATGCTGCTGAACTCACATCCACATCAGCTCACACACACTTTGATCTGGAGAGGAAACACAAATCATTCATGTGCACATCAACAGAAATCCTCCTTTCCATCATTTCTCCTGTAAGAAGATCAGCTGCTCCTCTCCTTATTTTCTCTTTCATATCAGTGTCAGTTGAATGCAGTCAGACAGCAGTGTGAGGCAGAGGAAGCTGAATATTGAATGAATATTTAACTGTATATATTTAACTGTATATCTTCCTTGTGAATATAATTTAGTTTTCCATTTTATGTCTTTCTTTTGTGCATCTGTTTAGTGCTTTGTTCTGTTTTAATGTTTTATGCTATTCTAATTTAGAGTATGACTGCAATTATTTGTTGTATAAAAACATTAAAGCTTAAACCTGATAATGAGCCCAAAGTCCACAGTGGCAGCAATGTCCAATAAAAAACTAAACTTGATCTTTCATCATAAAAGCATATACTTCCTTCCGAAATAAGAGACTGACAGTCTCAATAAAGCTGGTAAACTGCAATTTAAAGGAAATCTCTCTGATTGGATTATTGATCACATTTAAGTACAAACTGACATAAAGAAGCAACTGTAGTTCCTGTTGGGAGAGCTCGTTTGCAGACACAGTTTCATATTTACACTGACAAATGGCGGATATATTTAATGACGGTTGTTTCAGCTCCTTCGTCCCCAGTTAACAGATAAATAGAGTTTGTAGAAATTAACAGATGTTTGCTGTTTCTAGTAGGGCTGCATATGATGAAAACATCATATTAAGATTATTTTGACAGATATTGCGATATAATTGATTAGTGTGAGAATGATCATTTTTATCACATTCAAATTATTAAAATCCTGATGATGTGAGATTTTTTATAGTCTGTACCAAACAAACATGTTTTCTTAAATCTGGAGACTAAGAGCTGAAGGCCAGGACATTTCTGCAGAACTACAGTACTTTCTTTACTACATTAAAATGCTGTTTGTCACACTTACCTTTACCAGAAAACTGCAGCTTCTATATTGCACTATAGCCATGCTGCAAATTTCGATCATATTCTGACTAATTGTGCAGCCTGAGTTTATAGTGTAATTAAGCAAACGACAGCTTGTCTTAATGATTAAAATATTTCAAATTTGTTCCATTACCTTCAGCTGGAGGTTCAGATGGAGAAAACTGTGTGTTCAACAAGCTTCATAGAAGTCAAACTAAACTTTAAACAGTAAACACCCAGAGAGGGGCGAGTGTGTGTGAAAGATTAATTTTATCAGTTAACTGCCAGTGCAAGTGATAGAGTGGATGTTTAAAGAGAGCATATAAAGATAAAACACTTGTTGACCTGGAATATCTGGAAGTTGATTTCCAGTTAATTTGGTTCCAGAAAGCAGCTTTAGTGCATTTTTAAAACTAACTGAATGTTAGTTACTGTGATAACTGAGTTGGTCAGTTCAAAAAGTTATGTGGTGAAAAAGTAAAACTATTATGTACATTTTGAATTAAAAACATGTTAAAAAACACATCAATATATTGTATATGGACAACATAAGTTTACATTCTCACCTTGAACCACCAGAAACAGACTCATGAGGCCTTTCTTAATAGAAAGAGGACCAAGTTCAGACTGACCTCTGAAGGAAATGAACCATGTTGCAGGTTGGTGCACAGAGAACAACCGACTGCTTAACGTCAGCTTGTGCACACAGATCCTCAGAGACTCAAATGTGAATATTTTATGGTTTCTTTAGTAGAGATGAGAAGATGGCAAATGTTTGTTCAAAAACAGAGAATTTGGACGGACGATGAAGTAAGGTTGTTGTTAAATACATTTGTTCTTAAATGTATTCGGCTGTAAACGTAAAAGTTTATTTCAAATTGTTTTTTATTGAGTTTTCAGGAAAAACAAAACAGTTGAATCTGACAGATACAATTGCATGAATGCCATACATGGATCCCATCTCCAGTGTGCGTCCTATTTACTATACATACATACTTCATAGACAGTTTTTTTTTGCTTCAATTTGTTACATTTTCAATAGTCAACCCATGTACAGATACATGCCCAAAAAAAAAAAAAAAAAGTCAACAGGAGAAAAGACAAGGAGAGGGAGGGGGGTGGGATATGGAGAGCTACTCATCTGGTGGTTGCATCAAATTCACTAAATATTCTAAAAGTCACACGTTTTTTTGAACTCCTTTACAGAGCCCTGAATTGTGCATCTGATTTCTTCTAGCTTAAGAAACGCCATCACCTCACGGACCCAACGTGAGTGGGATGGAGGTGTGGTCGATTTCCAACCAAAAAGGATAAGTCGGCGGGCTAGTAATGTTGAGAATGCTATGAAGTCTGAATGATGTTTTGATAGCCCGCTGTTGCTAGGGGTAACCCCGAATACTGAGATAACTGGATCTGGCTCGATTCTTTTTTTACAAATATAAGAGAATGTATTGAAAATCTCTGAGCAGAATGTGTGTAGTTTTGAGCATGTCCAAAACATGTGCCCTAGAGTGGCAGGGGCCTGATGGCATCTGATGCAGTTTGGATCTGAGCCGGGGTATATCTGGGCCAGTCTGACTCCACAGAGGTGCAGGCGGTTGAGTATCTTGAATTGAACCAATCCGTGCCACTCTTTTGATAGCTCTTTGCCAGGTTTCCTCAGAAAGCTCCATGCTCAAGTGTTCTTTCAGGTGGTGGAGAGAGTTACCTTCCATGTCCTGTAAAATACTATATAACTGAGACACACAGCCTGGTATGTGGGGCTTAAGCTTCAGACATTCATCAAGTGGGCAGGCTGGAGGTTTGTGCGGGAATGATGGAAAATATGTACAAGTGAAATTGCGCACTTGAAGGTACCTGAAGAAGTGGAACTTTGGTAGGTTGTGCTCTTTCACAAACAGTTCAGAAGAGCCAAACAGTCCATTAATGAATAGGTCCCCTACACAATGAAGTCCCTTCCCAAACCAGGTCTGAAAAGCTGCATCTAACAAAGAGGGTCTAAAAAGGGGGTTGGCGATAAAAGGCATTGACACCAAAGCTTGCGTAAGGCCAAAGTGTTTACGAAATTGGGTCCATATACGTAGAGTGCCTCTCACAATTGGATTGTCTGTATAGGCCCCCACTGCTAATGGTAATGGGCCACACAACATAGATGCTAAGGAGACTGGTGAACATGCCTGTTGTTCCATGAGAGACCAGTTTGGACCTTCCCCTTTCCCAAAAGTATTTTACCAGACAGTCCCTTTATGAATATTGGCTGCCCAATGATAATATAAAAAGTTTGGCAGCGCTAGACCGCCATTTGTTTTATGTTTCTCCAGGACAAAGGAAATGGGAAAAAATCAATCCTTGAATACGTCTGATGTGCAGTAGAAAAAAAGGAAAACTCCTTCAGTGCTGGATTTTTAAATCTCCAAGGATCTACCACACCACTGGACTGGCAAAATGCCTTAATAAGATGAGCAGATTTGGAGAGATGGCCTACTGGGATTTTAGAGCGGTCCAGACAGGGTTGCAGGACAGTATTGAAATCTCCTCCCAATATCAAGTGGTGACTCTGACTCTGGGATGCAACTAAACAGTTGCTTATAGAACTCAGGGCTGTCCCAATTAGGGGCATAGATATTGACTAAAACCACTGGAAAATTATACAGCCTACCCTGAACAATAACAAAGCGCCCATTTATAGTCCCCTCACATTCCAGCTTACAAATTTTGTTGATGATCTACTCAACCCATCTAGGAAGGCCATGGGAAAAGGGGACTGACTGATGTCCAGAAAGATTCACCTGGCAATAGGTCCACATCTCTAGCCCTGGGGAGAAGGGGGGTGGGAGAAAGAGAGAAAGACAAAGAGCAGAGCGAGAGACAAAAAAAACAATAACACAAAACACATAAAGAACCCCTAATGTAACATGTAACCCCAACAATTGCTGGCCTCTCCCCAACTGAGAGGCTGCACCCTCCCTCCCTCCTAAACATCCTACCTATCGGGGCTGAGGCCCCATAAGAACCTTATGTACCAACAATTTAGCTTAACAGCTGTAACATTTCAAGTCAAGGAGACCTGTTCAGTGTGTGCACATTAGTGTCTGTATTCATATCTATGAATGTGTTTGTGTGTGTGTGTGTGTGTGTGTGTGTGTGTGTGTGTGTGTGTGTGTGTGTGTGTGTGAAGTTAACAATGTATGAATGTGCCTGAGTCTGTGCAACTGAAACAAAATAAAAAGTGCGTAGGTATTACAGTATGAAAGCTCACAAACTAGCCACTTATAAGCAGGTTGACCCCATGTCATATTACCCCATAAAACAATATTGCAAAGAATATTATTCATCCCTGGTGATCCCAAACAATCATTAATCAAGAAAACAATATCAGCAACAGTATTATGAACTAATTCAGTGTCACTGTTATCAGCCTTGGCATTCACAAGGGGTAAAGTGAACTGTACTGTGTGACATAACGTCCATACACCTGTTGGGGTCAATTATTTGGGATTTTAAAAACAAACAGAAAACTAGCTAACAGCAACCACGCTTACTGAAAAGGTTAAATGTCTCTACTATCAGCACCAGTGGCTTATATGAGAAGAAATAAAACATGGCACTTTTTGTGCATTACCACAACTTCACAAATAAAGTACTCTTTACTTAACAGCCAGACCTTCACTCACTGACGACACTGCCTACACCTCTGATCACCATGGCAATCTCAGCGTAGAGTGGCAAAGTGTCTGATTTCTGTAGAACTGATGTGAGAGTTCTTTCACAAACGCTTCAGCTTTGACTGGATCTGTGGAGTTTCTATGCACTCCATCCCGTGCTGTAATCCTCAGCTTGGCTGGGTACCACATCCCGTATTTTACGCCCTCACACCGTTGCAGAAGTTGTCTCACCTGCTTGAATGCAGCCCGCTGCCGTGCCACTGACTGTGTATAATCAGGGAAAATCCGAATCCTGTCACCGTGTTCGGAGATGAGATTTTGTGCCGCAAGTGATTTACGCAGGATCGCTTCTTTTTCCTGGTAATAGTGACACTTGACCACAAAGGCTCTTGGTTGCTGCCCTGCATCCGGAGCCTGTTGGAGGGTGCGGTGTGCTCTCAGTCTAAGACGGGTCCAGCTTCAGTGCTTTCTGTATTATTCAATTACTCAATCTGTCATAAACAAGTGTGGGTTTGGTTCCTTGACATAAATAAAGGTTAATATGGGGGAGCTCAGAGTCTACATCTCTCCAAGGCCCAACCGGAAGCCGTTTTTGGTAGTTTACATGGCAACTGTTAAGGTGTTCAAACTTTCAGAAGTTTGTTCCAAAAATGCATTGTCATGTGTTTTATGCAAAAACTGTTGTCATGCACCTGCTAAACCAGGTCCAAGGTCAAGGTCAGGGATTTATTGGTGAAATGAAGATTCATAAGCTTGCTTATGAATGATGGACAGTAGCAAGTTCAAACAGGAAAAAAGGCGCAGGCAGGCACGATGGAGACATCAAGCCTGGGAAGGTCCTCAGAAATGCTTGGCGGGCCTGGGGGAATGAGAAGTCTCTGGAGACAGATGCAGAGGGTCATAGCTGGTACCATCTACAGAGCATCAGTGATATCGGTGAGATGAGGTGCAGAGCCCAAAGGATAATAAAAGACAACAGTGCTGTATAAAGACAATAAAACTGAGGCTGAGTCAGCATGGTTGTCAAACTGTCCAATAAAAAAATGGATCTTAACATCAGACAAACTCATGTGACAACAGCAAATATAATTTCAAGTCCCTCCAGTCAGAAATCAGTGTTTAAATCGACTCATTAAAGCATTCTATCATTTCTTTGTAACTTTGAATAGTTTACAAAAAGTTTACAATTGATTAATATCGTAAATCAACACATTTTTAAAAACATTTTCCCAAAGCAAATGAAAACCTTTAAAAATGATTTGTTTTGGAGTCTGGATGACAGTTTTGAATCCTGCTCAAAGGAACTACCTTGAAACATTGTACATGTACAGTTATACACAGTTTAAAATAGTTTCACTGCAACTGAATGGTTTCACTCCCATGTGGACATACATGTGTTAATGTCCCACTAGGGTAAATGCTTTTCCACAAACTGAGCATCTGAAAGGTTTTTCTCCTGTATGAAGTGTTTGTTCAAACTTGAGCTATCAATGAGTCATATTTTCTGAAACGTTCACTATCTTTTACTAATCTGTGAAAGAATCAGGTTCCTCTGGCTCCTCCTGGTGCTCCTAATGGCATTTTCAAGAATCCACCGGGCCTGAATGAAAACAACCAATCAGAGCACAGATAGATTGTTGTTTGTAGAGTCTCATTCCCAGGCCATCGATTACAGACACTTTGAGACCCTGGAAATGAGACTCAGCAATCAACTATCTTCAGGCCTCCAACCTAAAGCAAATTTATGTTTCTCGACTCTGATTGGTTGTTGTCATTCAGGCCTAGTGGATCCTTCACTGGCAGTTAACAGATAAAATAAATCTTTCACACACACACACACACACACACACACACACAGTAAACCGACTCTCTGCGTGCTTACTGTTTCACTTTGTATGAAGGAGTGTCGCAGTTGGTTTTCACCATCTCAACCTCCAGCTGAAGGTAATGGAACAAATTTGAAACATTTTACTAGTTAACAGAAGCTGTTGTTAGTTTAGTTACAACAGAAAAAGCAAAAATCTGCTGCTTCATTGTTTGATTTGTTACAGATCAATGCATCAATATATTAATGCAATAATGATACAATAAAATAATAATCTAACAGTTCTACAAATTAATTGATCTGATTGATTTGATTATACATGTTGTCTAATTTTATATCTGTCAATACTTAACAACAAAGCAGTTTCACCTGCTCTGGTAAGTGATTCCCAGAGTGTAATATTTGGTCTTTTTTTGCTTGTTTGAGGTCCAAATTGTCGCAATTTAGAGTTTTGAACCAGTTCTGGCTTTAAACATTTGAATTAAAAGATTGATTAGCTTATTATTTCTGTTTCCTGAGAATTTGGTTGTAATCAAAGCAGAAATTAGTAAAATAACTGTCTCTTGTGGGATGTGGAGACCTAACGGTAATATTCCAACCAGAAAGAAACCAATTTTGACTTTCAACATTTGATTTATAATATTTCAGAAGATCTTTGACTAAAAGGCAAGGAGAAATGATGGAAAGGATGATTTCAGTTGATGAACACATGAATTTGTGTTTCCTCTCCAGATCAAAGTGTGTGTGAGCTGATGTGGATGTGAGTTCAGCAGCATGAGTCAGTGTGAGGACAAAGAGGAGGGAGTCCCTCCCTCTAGAAGGACTCTGTGGGGGGAACATGACACAAGGACCAAAGCTCAGAGGTGAGATGAGGATCTCTAACTGTCCATGACTCTTCTCCATGTCACAGCTCAGCACTCAGATCACTGCACCATCATTATTCACACTCAAAGCTCTGTGTGTGTTGTGTTGAAGCCCAGAGCAGCAGAACACAGCAGATTCTGCTGGACCTGGACCTGAACCTGGACCTGGATCTGGATCTGGATCTGGATCTGGACCCAGCTGTGTGTCCTTTAAGAGTGGCCGGTCAAATGATCCCATCTTTGAATTTTAAAGGACGACAACCCTCTGCTACAAAGAGGTAAGCTGTTAATAACCCTGTTTATTTTATTCTTCTTCCTTACTAAAATATATAATCTCACATCTGAAAGCTGCCATGTATAACCAGTATAACCAGTATAACCAGTATAACCAGTATAATCAGTATAAGCAGTATAAGCAGTATACTACAGCATAAAAAGTGAATTTCCATCTCTGTAATCTTCCCCTCTGTCTAACAGGATCTATGGAACACCAGCCTCTTCTGAATCTGAACCTGAACCCAGCTGTGTGTCCTTTAAGAGTGGCCGGTCAAATGATCGCATCATGAATTTTAAAGGACGACAACCCTCTGCTACAAAGAGGTATCACAATGTGATGCTGATGACAGTTCACTTTGTTATGTGTCAATAACAGTAAAGCTTTAGTAAAGTCAGAAGTTAACATTACACATTACATTAATTAAAATAGTACTTGATTCATCTTTTTAAATATACAGTATGTTTGAATATTTATTAGCATCATCAGCATCATTCTCAGCGTCTTCAACTCCTGACTTCAGTATTACATTTTCTCTACACACAAGTATTAAACAGTGATTTTATTGAGACTAACAGATGCTAACTGCTAACAAAGGCTAACCCTGATTCCACTGAGTTCCTCCATCAAATCAACATATTGTAGTTTTCAGTCATGTGACAACAGAAATAGAAACATGTCAGTGATAACAGCTGGGCTGAGGTCAGCTGCTCTAAAACACAGAATGAACAACCACAGAGAGTCTGAGGAAACACACAGTTGGTTTCTTCTTGATGCTGCTGATGGAAGCACTCAGTAATGTCTGTGAGTGTTCACAATCATACATCAGCTCTTTGCTTTCCTACAACATGAGAGAACAGTTTTTACATTGATTCACTCTGGAGTTCCTTTCAGAAGAGTTGTTTTCAGTACAGCTGGAAAAACCAAAACGCAGCAGTGTGTCCAGGAAGAGAGCGAGGTAAAAGATTAGATGTTAAAACTGACAAGATAAAAACAGTGTGTTGGTGTCAGATTCTCAGTTGTGAGATATGAAAGTTATGAAATCATAAATCATCAAAACAATTTAGGACGTAAAAGATACCTTTGAAGATTAAAATTCAAGTAAAATCAGGATAGGCCCTCCGACAAAAGTCTGTTTATTCAGGGACTTAAGATCGATCAGTGACCCAGCTGACCTGAATAAACTGTAGACTACTCTGTCGTGTGTATTTTCACCATCTGTACTTTTTGGTATTAAAAATTTTCTTTTGTTTGCGTTTGGATTACATTAATTAAAAAAAATAATAATGTTTGTCTCTGTGTGGACAGACATAATGTGAGCTCATTCTTCATGATTCCTCCACAGAGTGGACCAGGAGAGCTCAGAGGTTCCCAGTGGTCAGTCTGCCCAGCAGCATCAAACACACCTGGACTCCATATTTATGGTCTGTACATGGACAACAACTACTTTTACATCTATTGTGTTCACAATAATCTCCATGCTGCACTTTTTAGTCCAGTGGATTGTCAGTCTGTCCAACATGGATCTGATGTTTGCTTCCATGATTTGACTTTGATTGAGTCATTCATATAATATTCTGTTCCAGCTGCTGGAGGACAACATTGTCACTTTTGTGAAGAACGAGCTGAAGAAGATTAAAAAGGGTCTAAGTTCAGGTTACCCAGAATGCTTAGAGAGTCAAAGGGAGGATGAGGAGGTGTTGGACAGTGAGGATGAAGAGCAGAGGCGGAGCAGTAGAGAGGCATTTCTGAAGATAACAGTGCACTTCCTGAGGAGAATGAAGCAGGAGGAGCTGGCTGACCGTCTGCAGATCGGTAAGAGGATTTCTCTAAAGATTTAACTCGCTGGATAAATGAGACATTTACTGATGTCTCAACAGATGAAGGATCATTTGTTTATATATGCATCCTTTAGGAGAAATTAAATTGTCGTATTTAATAAAATTTAATTGAATATTTATAAATTACTTACAGAAATTATTTTACCTTCAGGACATCCTGATGGAGTTTGTCAGTGTAAACTAAAATCTAACCTGAAGAAGAAGTTCCAGTGTGTGTTTGAGGGGATTGCTAAAGCAGGAAAGCCATCCCTTCTGAACCAGATCTACACACAGCTCTACATCACAGAGGGAGGGATTGCAGAGGTCAATGATGAACATGAGGTCAGACAGATTGAAAAAGCATCCAGGAAACCAAACAGACCAGAAACAACAATCAGACAAGAAGACTTCTTTAAATCCTCACATGGAAGAGATGAACCAATCAGAACAGTGATGACAAAGGGAGTGGCTGGCATTGGGAAAACAGTCTTAACACAGAAGTTCACTCTGGACTGGGCTGAAGACAAAGCCAACCAGGACATACAGTTCCTGTTTCCATTCACTTTCAGAGAGCTGAATGTGCTGAAAGAGAAAAATTACAGCTTGGTGGAACTTGTTCATCACTTCTTTACTGAAACCAAAGAAGCAGGAATCTGCAGGTTTGAAGAGTTCCAGGTTGTGTTCATCTTTGACGGTCTGGATGAGTGTCGACTTCCTCTGGACTTCCACAACACAAAGATCCTGACTGATGTTACAGAGTCCACCTCAGTGGATGTGCTGCTGACAAACCTCATCAGGGGGAAACTGCTTCCCTCTGCTCGCCTCTGGATAACCTCACGACCTGCAGCAGCCAATCAGATCCCATCTGAGTGTGTTGATATTGTGACAGAGGTCAGAGGGTTCACTGACCCACAGAAGGAGGAGTACTTCAGGAAGAGGTTCAGAGATCAGGAGCCAGCCAGCAGAATCATCTCCCACATCAAGACATCACGAAGCCTCCACATCATGTGCCACATCCCAGTCTTCTGCTGGATCACTGCTACAGTTCTGGAGGATGTGTTGAACACCAGAGAAGGAGGAGAGCTGCCCAAGACCCTGACCGAGATGTACATCCACTTCCTGGTGGTTCAATCCAAACTGAAGAACATCAAGTATGACAGAGGATGTGAGACAGATCCACACTGGATTCCAGAGACAAGGAAGATGATTGAGTCTCTGGGAAAACTGGCTTTTGAGGAGCTGCAGAAGGGCAACCTGATTTTCTATGAATCAGACCTGACAGCGTGTGGCATCAATATCAGAGCAGCCTCAGTGTACTCAGGAGTGTTCACACAGATCTTTATAGAGGAGAGAGGACTGTACCAGGATAAAGTCTTCTGCTTCGTCCATCTGAGTGTTCAGGAGTTTCTGGCTGCTCTTCATGTCCATCTGACATTCATCAGCTCTGGAGTCAATCTGCTGTCAGAAGAACAATCAACCTCCCAGAAGTCTGAAACAAGAAAAGATGAATCTGCAGAGACACAGTTCTACCAGAGTGCTGTGGACAAGGCCTTACAGAGCCCAAATGGTCACCTGGACTTGTTCCTCCGCTTCCTCCTGGGACTTTCACTGCAGACCAATCAGGATCTCCTACGAGGCCTGCTGCCACAGACAAGAAGTTGCTCAAAAACTAATCAGGATATAGTCCAGTACATCAAGAAACAAATTGAGGACAACCCGTGTCCAGAAAGAAGCATCAATCTGTTTCACTGTCTGAATGAACTAAAAGATCCTTCTCTTGTCGAGGAGATCCAACAGTCTGTGAGATCAGGAAGACTTTCTACAGATAAACTGTCTCCTGCTCAGTGGTCAGCTCTGGTCTTCATCTTACTGTCATCAGAAAAAGATCTGGACGTGTTTGACCTGAAGAAATACTCTGCTTCAGAGGAGGCTCTTCTGAGGCTGCTGCCAGTGGTCAAAGCCTCCAACAAAGCTCTGTATGGATGAAATTTTTTTTGCATATATTGAAAATATTTGAATACAAAACCATGTTTTCAGCAGATAAGAACAATTAGTACTTGTGTTTTAACTTTACTGTTGTCTTTCCAGACTGAGTGGCTGTAACCTCTCAGAGAGAAGCTGTGAAGCTCTGTCCTCAGTTCTCAGCTCCCAGTCTTCTAGTCTGAGAGAGCTGGACCTGAGTAACAACAACCTGCAGGATTCAGGAGTGAAGCTTCTGTCTGCTGGACTGGAGAGTCCACACTGTACACTGGAAATTCTCAGGTCAGAGCAAGTTATTTTTTTATGACTTGAGATATTTCCCTAAAATATATTCTCTGTGGTTTTAATGTCAGAATTCACAGTACTTTCAGATGATTTGCCATGTGTGTTGTGTTGTGTGTTTGCAGGCTGTCAGGCTGTATGATCACAGAGGAAGGCTGTGCTTCTCTGGCCTCAGCTCTGAGCTCCAACCCCTCCCATCTGAGAGAGCTGGACCTGAGCTACAATCATCCAGGAGACTCAGGAGTGAACCTGCTCTCTCCACAGTGGAGACTGGACACTCTCAGGTAGGAAGAGGCCTGCTGCAGCCACAGACAGTCAGACAATGGTCTGAAACTCATGAAATGTAGCACAAATATCAGCTGATATGTTTAGGTTTTTGTTTTGCTATTAAGTTATACATGTGAACGTATCAGTGCAAGTGATGTAATGTTTGCATGCTGAAAGAGGATGTGCTGGTCTGACCCCCCTCCTCCTTTCAGGGTGGAGCCTGCTGGAGTCCGATGGTTGAGACCAGGTCTGAGGAAGTGTAAGTGTGAAAACAAAGCAGCACACATTCAACCATCTTCACACTGTGACATCACTCATTCACAGCTCTGATGTCATCATCAAAGTATCAATCAATGATCAGATGATAGATTAATAACTGCAGCTGTATTGTGTCTTGTTCTCTCCATCAGATTCCTGTGAACTCACAGTCGACACAAACACAGTGAACAGGAACCTTAAACTGTCTGACAACAACAGGATGGTGACGTTTGTGAAGGAAGAGCAACCATATCCTGATCATCCAGACAGATTTGACTGTCCTCAGCTGTTGTGTACAAATGGTCTGACTGGTCGCTGTTACTGGGAGGTGGAGGGGAGAGGAAGAGTTAGAATATCAGTGGATTACAACAGGAGATGTCACAGTAAAGAATGTTTGTTTGGAGAGAATGATCAGTCCTGGAGTCTGTTCTGCTCGGAAGATGATGGTCGTTACTCTGTCTGGCACAATAAGAGCGGAACATCCATCTCCTCCTCTGTCTCTAACAGAGTAGCAGTGTATGTGGACTGTCCTGCTGGCACTCTGTCCTTCTACAGAGTCTCCTCTGACACGCTGATCCATCTCCACACCTTCAACACCACATTCACTCAACCTCTTTATCCTGGGTTTGGGCTTAGGTCCTCATCCATATCCATGTCTGGTTCCTCAGTGTCTCTGTGTTCTCTGTAGGAGGCAGACTCTCTTCCTGTTGGACAAATATTCTCACTGCTGCAGGCATTTGCACAGATTGCTCAAGCCCTAATAACCATGAAGCTTTAATGACCAGTATGTAGGATTTAGTGGCCTGAAGTTACAGATTGCAACCAACTGAACACCACTCTAGTCTTTATTTGACTAATTGAAGCCCCTATCTAGAGTCAGTGTTTGGTTTGTCCATTCTGGGCCACTGTAGAAACATGGCAATTCAACATGGCAGACTCAGTGGAAGACGCCCTACATTGTCTGTAGATAAAAACGTTTAATTCTAACAAAAACACAATGATTCCTAATAATAATTATTCACCAACATTTCTGACAATAGATCCTCCTAAAGGTTACACACTGGACTTCCTATTTTTGAGGGTAGATTGGTTGGTTTATTATTTCATTCATTCAGACATTATTGTGTAAATATTTGTTGATTTTGAACAGGTATTCATTTTATAGAAAGTGTGCACAATGTCTGCTCTGCAGTTCTTGGAGAGATAGTAAATGCAAAATGTGCTGTGTGGCTTGATCATTTTGTAGAAATATGTTGAGTTTTAAACTGTATGACCGTTTTATATGTAATTGCTTTATTTTTTATACATAATTAGGAGAGAGGTGCCCTTTCTTCTTTGAACACCTGCCTAAAATGTCCGTACATGTGCCTGCAACAGATGAGTTGAGTCCTGCATTAATCAATGAATTTAAATGAATCAATGAGCTTTGTACAAAATCCTTCCGAAAGATTCTTCACAGATATTGTAAATGTCTTCCACAAGCTGCATGAATGCTCATTATGCTTCAATAAAGATTATTTTCTTCAATCTGGAACCTGAGTGAAGTGTCTCAGTTTTGTTTCATACAACCAGATAATAACTTTTTAAACTAAGTTTCCACATTAACACTCTAAAGCTGCTTACTGGAACCAGAGTAACTACAAATAAACATGTACTCAACTCGCAGCTATCGGAGATCAACTTTCTATGTTTATATTCATTAAACAGACGCGTTATCAGTTATTTCACTGGCAGTATACAGATAAAATTAATCTTTCACACACTCGCGCCTTTCTGCGTGTTTCCTGTTTAAAGTTTACTTTCACTTTCTCTGGAGCAGTGTCGCAGTTTGTATTCACCATCTAATTCTCCAGCTGAAGGCAATGGAACAGAGTTTCGATGTTTTACATCAACAGCAAAAATCTGCATCCAATATAACAGTGACAGGAGTCATTCTGCAAGGGGCTTTTTCTTGTTACAGAGTATTTGTACAATGTGGTACTTTTACTTAACAAAATCATGTGAATATTTTTTTCCTCTTAGTAATTGTTATTTTTATTACATTTTTGGATCACAGCAGGAATTATAAACCTCTACCTGATGAGTCTGATAATACACACGGTTTAATTTTATATCCACAGGTACTTTAACAGTTAAGTGGTTTCACCTGCTCAGGTTAGTGATTATATCTCAGTGACAATCAGTGTGAGTCAGTGAGTGTAAATGCTCCTCCATGCATTGTGTGTGTGCTGGGCTGCCCTTCATCAATGTGATAAATATTCAGTAATACTGAGAGTGCCACCTAGTGGTGAAAGGAAATGTAATTTTTTTATACTTCCATGTTCTACTCCTAGCAGGATGATCAGATGTAGCTGAAATCATGTCAGAAAGTGCAAAACATGTTGTTGATAATATTTCATAATTGTGGTGAGAATACAATGAGGTTGTATTTTGCGGCTATTTTAGGCGATTTTTTTTGCGTTGTATTTGAATGAACTCCTTCTAGGGCATTAGTCAGTACAATCAAAACAAAATGCAAATGACGAACAGCGTGCCCGTGGTGTTCGCTATGAAACAGATAGTACTCAACTGCAGTGTACATGGTCCAATCTCAATAAAACTTCCCGTTTGATAAGAGTCCTGCCCTGAACACCGGCACATGACCACAGCACACCCCGAGTTGCGTGGAGTGCGAGGGCCCGTTCATCGCTGCTAGCAGTTTCAATTAATATTATATTATTTCCTCAGGGCACCAACCTTAGAGAATACAAAATGAGTCTCATAAAATACACTAAACTATTAATTTGGGATCTTGATTATTAATTGATTCAATAACTAGAAGCAATAGCAGGAACATGTTTGTTGCGGGCAAAGAAAAACACAAAGTCCCCTCTGACTTGTGTAGTGTTTAAGGCCAATTCAACGTGTATGTACAGTATGTGATGTTCCTGTGTCTAAAATGTAGGCTGTGACCAACTTGAATGGCAAACAGCAACAGAGAACTCTTATGTGACCTTATGAGGGCTTAAAGTGTTTCACCTCACATGGGGCACCGTTTATATTGAATATAAAATGGTTCGAACAGGAAGCAAATTGGGAAGACAAGACAATAAATAATAACTTTAATTCATATCAAAGCTCCTCGGGGCACCACCCTTAAAGAAGCCAATTAATTGATTCGGAATGATAAAATAAACTAAACTATGAATTTGGAATTCTGATTATTAAATTAATATCTACAACCAAAAGGTGGGTAAGTGGGCCTGTGTTGAGCCGACCATGTAGAGGTTCAGAAAGCCATGAAGTAAATACATGTCCTATACCTAAACCTGCTTGAATATTGTTGTTGTAAAATAATTGATTTATAATGATTTTAATTGTGGACAAACCTCCTGCCTTGACTGACATTAGAAGGCCCCTTCACCAATATGGCTCCAATGCCAATATGGTATGTACGTGTATTTAATCATGAAGTTAACCGCTATGTAGTGTCACACCCTGGCTCTTAAGGCATGACAAATATGTGAGATACACCACTTTAAGGAATAACAAAAAGTAATGTATTGAACAAAAAGTCGACTTATGAAATGAACAACTACATACTTTAAATATAGAGTGTGAATAACAATGTAGTCAGTAGTGTAAGGTGTGCATGAGGGATAATATGTGTGTATGTTGTAAAGTGTACAAAAACAAAATATAAGATGAGGCCACGCTGCAGTCCTCACACCACTGGCAGCGTGCCTGCAAAAAGAGAGCAACAAACTAGTACAAATCAAACAACAAGTTAGGACAACTCAAACAATACAAACCAGAAGCAGCAGAGGGCTAGAATGGGCAACAGGGCCTTGATTATATAGCCTGGGAGCACCGGGCCCAGGTGTTCCCAGTTGGTACCAATTAACACCAGGGGGCACCACAGTAGGGTTATTAAAACATGAATATTAGGTAGGTATGACCAGAGATTGTTAACCCTAACCCTGTCTACGTGGCTCTGGGTATAACATGTCATATTGTTTATGAAAACTGCAGGGCTTTGGTTTTGTCTCAACTTCCTCCAAAACTATATATCTATATATATATATATAACACAGTTAGTTTCACTGCAACTGAATGGTTTCACTCCCATGTGGACATACATATGTTAATGTCCCACTAGGGTAAATGCTTTTCCACAAACTGAGCAACTCAAGGGTTTCTCCCTAGTATGGATTCTTTGCGTGTGATCATAGCACTTACGTATGTCATTCAAACTTAGCATCTGAAAGGTTTTTCTCCTGTATGAAGTGTTTGGTCAAACAATGAGTCATATTTTCTGAAACGTTCACTATCTTTTACTAATCTGTGAAAGAATCAGGTTCCTCTGGCTCCTCCTGGTGCTCCTAATGGCATTTTCAAGAATCCACCGGGCCTGAATGAAAACAACCAATCAGAGCACAGATAGATTGTTGTTATTAGACTTTGAGACCCTGGAAATGAGACTCAGCAATCAACTATCTTCAGGCCTCCAACCTAAAGCAAATTCATATCTTTCTTGACTCTGATTGGTTGTTTTCATTCAGGCCTAGTGGATCCTTCACTGGCAGTTAACAGATAAAATTAATCTTTCACACACACACACACACACACACACACACAGTAAACACGCCTCTCTGCGTGCTTACTGTTTCACTTTGTATGAAGGAGTGTCGCAGTTGGTTTTCACCATCTCAACCTCCAGCTGAAGGTAATGGAACAAATTTGAAACATTTTACTAGTTAAGCTGTTGTTAGTTTAGTTACAATAGAAAAAGCTAAAATCTGCTGCTTCATTGTTTGATTTGTTACAGATCAATGCATCAATATATTAATGCAATAATGATACAATAAAATAATAATCTAACAGTTCTACAAATGAATTGTTATTCTTATATTTTGACCACAGCAGGCATTATAAGGACAAATTCTACCTGAATGATTTGATTATACATGTTGTCTAATTTAATATCTGTCAATACTTTAACAATAAAGCAGTTTCACCTACTCTGGTAAGTGATTCCCAGAGTGTAATATTTGGTCTTCATTTGCTTTTTTGAGGTCCAAATTGATGTAATTTAGAGTTTTGAACCAGTTTTGGCTTTAAACATTTGAATTGCAAGATTTATTAGCTTATTATTTCCGTTTCCTGAGAATTTGGTTGTAATTAAAGCAGAAATGTATATGGGGGACCCAACGGTAATATTCCAACCAGAAAGAAACCAATTTTGACTTTCAACATTTGATTTATAATATTTCAGAAGATCTCTGACAAAAAGGCAAGGAGAAATGATGGAAAGGATGATTTCAGTTGATGTGCACATAAATGATTTGTGTTTTCTCTCCAGATCAAAGTGTGTGTGAGCTGATGTGGATGTGGGTTCAGCAGCATGAGTCAGTGTGAGGACAGAGAGGAGGGAGCCCCTCCCTCTAAAAGGACTCGGTGGGGGGAACATGACACAAGGACCAAAGCTCAGAGGTGAGATGAGGATCTCTAACTGTCCATGACTCTTCTCCATGTCACAGCTCAGCACTCAGATCACTGCACCATCATTATTCACACTCAAAGCTCTGTGTGTGTTGTGTTGAAGCCCAGAGCAGCAGAACACAGCAGATTCTGTTGGACCTGGATCCAAACCTGAACCTGGACCCAGCTGTTTGTCCCTCAAGAGTGACTCGTCAAATGATCTCTACATTGATTTTAAAGGACGACAACCTTCTGCTACAAATAGGTATCACAATGTCATTTTCCCAATATTGTGCAGCTCTATTTAGCATACAGACCAACAGTGTCGCTGCTGATGACAGTTCACTTTGTTATGTGTCAATAACAGTAAAGATTTAGTAAAGTCAACTGTTAACATTACACATTACACTAATTAAAATAGAACTTGATTCATATTTTTTAATATATGTTTGTATATTTATTGATCATCAGCATCATTCTCAGCGTCTTCAACTCCCCACTTCAGTATTACATTTTCTCTACACACGAGTATTAAACAGTGATTATATTGAGACTAACAGATGCTAACTGCTAACAAAGGCTAACCCTGATTCCACTGAGTTCCTCCATCAAATCAACATATTGTAGTTTTCAGTCATGTGACAACAGAAATAGAAATATGTCAGTGATAACAGCTGGGCTGAGGTCAGCTGCTCTAAAACACAGAATGAACAACCACAGAGAGTCTGAGGAAACACACAGTTGGTTTCTTCTTGATGCTGCTGATGGAAGCACTCAGTAATGTCTGTGAGTGTTCACAATCATACATCAGCTCTTTGCTTTCCTACAACATGAGAGAACAGTTTTAACATTGATTCACTCTGGAGTTCCTTTCAGAAGAGTTGTTTTCAGTACATTGTTTCACTGTTTTTATGTGTTTCTATCAGAAGGAAGCTGGAAAAACCAAAACGCAGCAGTGTGTCCAGGAAGAGAGCGAGGTAAAAGATTAGGTATTAAAACTGACAAGAAAAAAACAGTGTGTTGGTGTCAGATTCTCAGTTGTGAGATATGAAAGTTATGAAATCATCAATCATCAAAACAATTTAGGACGTAAAAGATACCTTTGAAGATTAAAATTCAAGTAAAATCAGGAGAGGCCCTCCGATAAAAGTCTGTTTATTCAGGGACTTAAGATCGATCAGTGACCCAGCTGACCTGAATAAACTGTAGCCTACTCTGTCGTGTGTATTTTCACCGTCTGTACTCTTGCGTGGATTACATTAATTAAATTAAAAGATAAATTTGTTGTCTCTGTGTGGACAGACATAATGTGAGCTCATTCTTCATGATTCCTCCACAGAGTGGACCAGGAGAGCTCAGAGGTTCCCAGTGGTCAGTCTGCCCAGCAGCATCAAACACACCTGGACTCCATATTTATGGTCTGTACATGGACAACAACTACTTTTACATCTATAGTGTTGACAATAATCTCCATGCTGCACTTTTTAGACCAGTGGATTATCAGTCTGTCCAACATGGATCTGATGTTTGCTTCCGTGATTTGACTTTGATTGAGTCATTCATATAATATTCTGTTCCAGCTGCTGGAGGACAACATTGTCACTTTTGTGAAGAACGAGCTGAAGAAGATTAAAAAGGGTCTAAGTTCAGGTTACCCAGAATGGTTAGAGAGTCAAAGGGAGGATGAGGAGGTGTTGGACAGTGAGGATGAAGAGCAGAGGCGGAGCAGCAGAGAGGCATTTCTGAAGATCACTGTACACTTCCTGAGGAGAATGAAGCAGGAGGAACTGGCTGACCGTCTGCAGAGCAGTAAGAGGATTTCTCTAAAGATTTAACTCGCTGGATAAATGAGACATTTACTGATGTCTCAACAGATGAAGGATCATTTGTTTATATATGCATCCTTTAGGAGAAATTAAATTGTCGTATTTAATAAAATTTAATTGAATATTTATAAATTACTTACAGAAATTATTTTTTTGTACCTTCAGGACATCCTGTTTGTCAGTGTAAACTTAAATCTAACCTGAAGAAGAAGTTCCAGTGTGTGTTTGAGGGGATTGCTAAAGCAGGAAAGCCAACCCTTCTGAACCAGATCTACACACAGCTCTACATCACAGAGGGAGGGACTGCAGAGGTCAATGATGAACATGAGGTCAGACAGATTGAAAAAGCATCCAGGAAACCAAACAGACCAGAAACAACAATCAGACAAGAAGACTTCTTTAAATCCTCACCTGGAAGAGATGAACCAATCAGAACAGTGATGACAAAGGGAGTGGCTGGCATTGGGAAAACAGTCTTAACACAGAAGTTCACTCTGGACTGGGCTGAAGACAAAGCCAACCAGGACATACAGTTCCTGTTTCCATTCACTTTCAGAGAGCTGAATGTGCTGAAAGAGAAAAAGTTCAGCTTGATGGAACTTGTTCATCACTTCTTTACTGAAACCAAAGAAGCAAGAATCTGCAGGTTTGAAGAGTTCCAGGTTGTGTTCATCTTTGACGGTCTGGATGAGTGTCGACTTCCTCTGGACTTCCACAACACAAAGATCCTGACTGATGTTACAGAGTCCACCTCAGTGGATGTGCTGCTGACAAACCTCATCAGGGGGAAACTGCTTCCCTCTGCTCGCCTCTGGATAACCTCACGACCTGCAGCAGCCAATCAGATCCCATCTGAGTGTGTTGATATTGTGACAGAGGTCAGAGGGTTCACTGACCCACAGAAGAAGGAGTACTTCAGGAAGAGGTTCAGAGATCAGGAGCCAGCCAGCAGAATCATCTCCCACATCAAGACATCACGAACCCTCCACATCATGTGCCACATCCCAGTCTTCTGCTGGATCACTGCTACAGTTCTGGAGGATGTGTTGAAGACCAGAGAAGGAGGAGAGCTGCCCAAGACCCTGACCGAGATGTACATCCACTTCCTGGTGGTTCAATCCAAACTGAAGAACATCAAGTATGACAGAGGATGTGAGACAGATCCACACTGGATTCCAGAGACAAGGAAGATGATTGAGTCTCTGGGAAAACTGGCTTTTGAGGAGCTGCAGAAGGGCAACCTGATTTTCTATGAATCAGACCTGACAGAGTGTGGCATCAATATCAGAGCAGCCTCAGTGTACTCAGGAGTGTTCACACAGATCTTTATAGAGGAGAGAGGACTGTACCAGGATAAAGTCTTCTGCTTCGTCCATCTGAGTGTTCAGGAGTTTCTGGCTGCTCTTCATGTCCATCTGACATTCATCAGCTCTGGAGTCAATCTGCTGTCAGAAGAACAATCAACCTCCCAGAAGTCTGAAACAAGAAAAGATGAATCTGCAGAGACACAGTTCTACCAGAGTGCTGTGGACAAGGCCTTACAGAGCCCAAATGGTCACCTGGACTTGTTCCTCCGCTTCCTCCTGGGACTTTCACTGCAGACCAATCAGGATCTCCTACGAGGCCTGCTGCCACAGACAAGAAGTTGCTCAAAAACTAATCAGGATATAGTCCAGTACATCAAGAAACAAATTGAGGACAACCCATGTCCAGAAAGAAGCATCAATCTGTTTCACTGTCTGAATGAACTAAAAGATCCTTCTCTTGTCGAGGAGATCCAACAGTCCGTGAGATCAGGAAGACTTTCTACAGATAAACTGTCTCCTGCTCAGTGGTCAGCTCTGGTCTTCATCTTACTGTCATCAGAAAAAGATCTGGACGTGTTTGACCTGAAGAAATACTCTGCTTCAGAGGAGGCTCTTCTGAGGCTGCTGCCAGTGGTCAAAGCCTCCAACAAAGCTCTGTATGGACGTAGATATTTGAATATACTGAAAATATTTGAATATAAAACCATGTTTTCAGCAGATAAGAACAATTAGTACTTGTGTTTTAACTTTACTGTTGTCTTTCCAGACTGAGTGGCTGTAACCTCTCAGAGAGAAGCTGTGAAGCTCTGTCCTCAGTTCTCAGCTCCCAGTCCTCTAGTCTGAGAGAGCTGGACCTGAGTAACAACAACCTGCAGGATTCAGGAGTGAAGCTGCTGTCTGCTGGACTGGAGAGTCCACACTGTACACTGGAAATTCTCAGGTCAGAGCAAGTTATTTTTTTATGACTTGAGATATTTCCCTAAAATATATTCTCTGTGGTTTTAATGTCAGAATTCACAGTACTTTCAGATGATTTGCCATGTGTGTTGTGTTGTGTGTTTGCAGGCTATCAGGCTGTATGATCACAGAGAAAGGCTGTGCTTCTCTGGCCTCAGCTCTGAGCTCCAACCCCTCCCATCTGAGAGAGCTGGACCTGAGCTACAATCATCCAGGAGACTCAGGAGTGAACCTGCTCTCTCCACAGTGGAGACTGGACACTCTCAGGTAGGAAGAGGCCTGCTGCAGCCACAGACAGTCAGACAATGGTCCGAAACTTATGAAACGTAGCACAAATATCAGCTGATATGTTTAGGTTTTTGCTATTAAGTTATACATGTGAACGTATCAGTGCAAGTGATGTAATGTTTGCATGCTGAAAGAGGATGTGCTGGTCTGACCCCCCTACTCCTTTCAGGGTTGAGCCTGCTGGAGTCCGATGGTTGAGACCAGATCTGAGGAAGTGTAAGTGTGAAAACAAAGCAGCACACATTCAACCATCTTCACACTGTGACATCACTCATTCACAGCTCTGATGTCATCATCAAAGTGTCAATCAATGATCAGATGATAGATCAATAACTGCAGCTGTATTGTGTCTTGTTCTCTCCATCAGATTCCTGTGAACTCACAGTCGACACAAACACAGTGAACAGAAACCTTAAACTGTCTGACAACAACAGGATGGTGACGTTTGTGAAGGAAGAGCAACCATATCCTGATCATCCAGACAGATTTGACTGTCCTCAGCTGTTGTGTACAAATGGTCTGACTGGTCGCTGTTACTGGGAGGTGGAGTGGAGAGGAAGAGTTAGAATATCAGTGGATTACAACAGGAGATGTCACAGTTTGTTTGGAGAGAATGATCAGTCCTGGAGTCTGTTCTGCTCGGAAGATGATGGTCGTTACTCTGTCTGGCACAATAAGAGCGGAACCTCCATCTCCTCCTCTGTCTCTAACAGAGTAGCAGTGTATGTGGACTGTCCTGCTGGCACTCTGTCCTTCTACAGAGTCTCCTCTGACACACTGATCCATCTCCACACCTTCAACACCACATTCACTCAACCTCTTTATCCTGGGTTTGGGCTTAGGTCCTCATCCATATCCATGTCTGGTTCCTCAGTGTCTCTGTGTTCTCTGTAGGAGGGAGACTCTCTTCCTGTTGGACAAATATTCTCACTGCTGCAGGCATTTGCACAGATTGCTCAAGCCCTAATAACTATGAAGCTTTAATGACCAGTATGTAGGATTTAGTGGCCTGAAGTTACAGATTGCAACCAACTGAACACAGCTCAAGTCTTTATTTGACAAATTGAAGCCCCTATCTAGAGTCAGTGTTTGGTTTGTCCATTCTGGGCCACTGTAGAAACATGGCAATTCAACATGGCAGACTCAGTGGAAGACGCCCTACATTGTCCGTAGATAAAAACATTTAATTCTAACAAAAACACAATGATTCCTAATAATAATTATTCACCAACATTTCTGACAATAGATCCTCCTAAATGTTACACACTGGACTTTGTATTTTTGAGGGTAGATTGGTTGGTTTATTATTTAATTCATTCAGACATTACTGTGTAAATATTTGTTGATTTTGAACAGGTATTCATTTTATAGAAAGTGTGCACAATGTCTGCTCTGCAGTTCTTGGAGAGATAGTAAATGCAAAATGTGCTGTGTGGCTTGATCATTTTGTAGAAATATGTTGAGTTTTAAACTGTATGACCGTTTTATATGTAAGTGCTTTATTTTTTATACATAATTAGGAGAGAGGTGCCCTTTCTTCTTTGAACACCTGCCTAAAATGTCCGTACATGTGCCTGCAACAGATGAGTTGAGTCCTGCATTAATCAATGAATTTAAATGAATCAATGAGCTTTGTACAAAATCCTTCCGAAAGATTCTTCACAGATATTGTAAATGTCTTTCACAAGCTGCATGAATGCTCATTATGCTTCAATAAAGATTATTTTCTTCAATCTGGAACCTGAGTGAAGTGTCTCAGTTGTTTCATTCAACCAGATAATAACTTTTTAAACTAAGTTTCCACATTAACACTCTAAAGCTGCTTTCTTTGTAGTAACTACAAATAAACATGTACTCAACTCGCAGCTATCGGAGATCAACTTTCTATGTTTATATTCATTAAACAGACGCGTTATCAGTTATTTCACTGGCAGTATACAGATAAAATTAATCTTTCACACACTCGCGCCTTTCTGCGTGTTTCCTGTTTAAAGTTTACTTTCACTTTCTCTGGAGCAGTGTCGCAGTTTGTGTTCACCATCTAATTCTCCAGCTGAAGGCAATGGAACAGAGTTTCGATGTTTTACATCAACAGCAAAAATCTGCATCCAATATAACAGTGACAGGAGTCATTGTGCAAGGGGCTTTTTCTTGTTACAGAGTATTTGTACAATGTGGTACTTTTACTTAACAAAATCATGTGAATATTTTTTTCCTCTTAGTAATTGTTATTTTTATTACATTTTTGGATAACAGCAGGAATTATAAACCTCTACCTGATGAGTTGGATAATACACACGGTTTAATTTTATATCCACAGGTACTTTAACAGTAAAGTGGTTTCACCTGCTCAGGTTAGTGATTATATCTCAGTGACAATCAGTGTGAGTCAGTGAGTGTAAATGCTCCTCCATGCATTGTGTGTGTGCTGGGCTGCCGCTTCATCAATGTGATAAATATTCAGTAATACTGAGAGTGCCACCTAGTGGTGAAAGGAAATGTCATTTTTTACACTTCCATGTTCTACTGCTAGCAGGATGATCAGATGTAGCTGAAATTTTGTCAGAAAGTGCAAAACATGTTGTTGATAATATTTCATAATTGTGGTGAGAATACAGTGAGGTTGTATTTTGAACGAACTCCTTCTAGGGCATTAGTCAGTACAATCAAAACAAAATGCAAATGACGAACAGCGTGCCCGTGGCGTTCGCTATGAAACAGATAGTACTCAACTTCAGTGTACATGGTCCAATCTCAATAAAACTTCACGTTTGATAAGAGTCCTGCCCTGAACACCGGCACATGACCACAGCACACCCCGAGTTGAGTGGAGTGCAAGGGCCCGTTCATCGCTGCTAGCAGTTTCAGTTAATATTATATTATTTCCTCTGGGCACCAACCTTAGAGAATACAAAATGAGTCTCATAAAATACACTAAACTATTAATTTGGGATCCTGATTATTAATTGAATCAATAACTAGAAGCAATAGCAGGAACATGTTTGTTGCGGGCAAAGAAAAACCTCACATGGGGCACCGTTTATATTAAATATAAAATGGCTCGAACAGGAAGCAAATTGGGAAGAGAAGACAATAAATAATAACTTTAATTCATATCAAAGCTCCTCGGGGCACCACCCTTAAAGAAGTCAATTAATTGATTCAGAATGATAAAATAAACTAAACTATGAATTTGGAATTCTGATATTAAATTAATATCTACAACCAAAAGGTGGGTAAGTGGGCCTGTGTCGAGCCGACTATGTAGAGGTTCAGAAAGCCATGAACTAAATACATGTCCTATACCTAAACCTACTTGAATATTGTTGTTGTAAAATAAATGATTTATAATGATTTTAATTGTGGACAAACCTCCTGCCTTGACTGATATGCACGCACATTAGAAGGCTTCCCTTCACCACCATGAATCCAATGCCAATATAGTATGTACGTGTATTTAATCATGAAGTTAACCACTGTGTAGGGTTATTAAAACATGAATATTAGGTAGGTATAACCAGAGATTGTTAACCCTAACCCTCTCTACATGGCTCTGGGTATTACATGTCATATTGTTCATGAAAACTGCAGGGCTTTGGTTTTGTCTTAACTTTCTCCAGAACTGCTCATCCAAACTACTTTATACTGGATAATGCTCTCCCTTTGGTCCTCAGCAGTACACCCACCAAGATAAAATAAATAAAGTAAAATTAAATGAATGGTGGAGATTAGAGCGCCGTTTATAAATAATAATACTTCAAATGTCGTGGAAACTGAGACCAATTGTGACGCTTTTGGCATTCCATACAGGCAGCTTGCTTCTAGAGAGAAAAACATGGTGAAGTTCAATGACCTGAACTTTTCCAGTAGCTGTGTCCACCCACATGTGTGATTAATACGGCTGTGCCAGCAGTAAAATGCCTGGACCTTGTCCTCCTCCTCCCCCAGGAGGAGTCCTGCACTGTGTTCAGCTCCCTATTCTTTGTCTGGCAGGAGCAGGAAGGGAAAGGGTTATTATTCAGAACATTTACTGTAAAAGTAATAAATGCATTTCATCCCCTTCCTGTCCAGTGAAATCCACATATCAACAGATGTGTTGATGTTTGTGATAAACTGAAGGATGGAGTCTTCTTTTACAGGTGGAGTAAATTCTCCTGCTTATTAAACTAAATTAACTATTTAAAAACCCTCCTGGATCAGCTGGAAAATACATCGTCACAAAGCTAAAAACAGTCTGTTTTTCTGACTATTTAGAGTTATGTGTTTCTCACAGGACAAAAATATATATTGATCTTATAGAATATGATGCATTGCTGTAAGTTAAACGATCATACCACAGAATATAAGATAACATAGTATGAGTATAATAAATAAACAAATATAGTGTACTGTAGTATGAAACAAAACAAACACAAAGTTTTAAGAAAAAACATTTATTAGACAGCAGAACAGACGGTTCAGGTTTAGCACCTCGGTGGTTCACACCAGTTTACAACATAAACACACACACACACACATTACCCAGCATTCAGCAGGATGTGACATTTTCCTGTTCGCAAACCAAATAACATGATCAACATGAAGCCCTCTCTCACACACACTTTAAGTTGTAGTTTTACAGGTTTCTGTAGATATAAATGTGCACAATGTGTTGGTACGTTCTTGTATGAGGCATTTTTTACTTTTAATATTTACAAATAAGAAACGAACAAGCAGGACAAACATCAGCGAGCACCTGTCAGAGGTCACATGATGGAGTTTTATTCAAATTCCACAAAGACGGAATATGTATTTGACACAACCTTAAAAACAGCTCAGAAGAGTTTTGAAGCTTTATGAATATCGTAAACTTTTACAATCAATCTAAAACTACATTCAAACGCCCGTCGCTAACTTCCTGATAAACCTACAAACGTCGTTTCTGTGAGAAGACGCGTCACAAAGCGGTTCAGTACAGGTCCACACTCGTTTGGTTCAGAGCAAAAGACAATGTTTGGCATTCATCGGTCATCAATACTGAATACTGGTGACAAATGTGTGTTTTATGATCCTGTGATGACCCCTGTGAGCAGGCCCCTCCCTCCAGGAGCCTGGGGGGGGCGGAGTCAGTTTATCAGTGAGATTCAGCGCACCTGGAGGCAGGTCTATATATACATATATATATATAAATATATATTATGTTTGTTTTTGTTGTATTTAGCTTATTTTTAGTTATAACGGATGTGTGTTCTCCCTTTTTCGTCCAACCTGAGGTGGGGGCGTGGCGAATTGGGGGCTCGTCCGGGATCAAATGAACTATTTTGGGCCGATTTAATTTTTGGTAATTAAGGTAATTTAAGATGTACAAATATGTGTGTGACGATTTTTTGGTAAATTACGATGTTCACGAATGCATCATGTCATCCACAAACCAACACCAGCAGAAAGCGATCGTTAACTGTGATCATGAAACACCAATGTGTCACCAATCGTGTCCACTGTGAGCGTTCAGTGTGCTTTAAAGCCCTCTGTGGAGGACGGAGGCGTTTTACCGCACACTCTGAGACATGTGCAGAGGAGTCAGCATCTCCTCAAAGATGGCCCCCTTCACATTGGAGCCCCTCAGGTTCGCCTCCTGGAGGTCACATCCTGACAGGTCACAGTTCTGGGAAAAACATACGACACGCGAATGTATCATGGATGCAGCATTTGCAGGTTTCGGTGAATTATGGATGTAGAGATGTGTGTGTGTGTGTGTGTGTGTGTGTGTGTGTGTGTGTGTGTGTGTGTGTGTTCTCACCTCCAGGTCCGTCCCGGCCAGCGTTGCTCCTCTCAGATTGCAGTTCTTCAGTTTGGCGTTCTTCAGCGTGGCGACCCTCAGGTTGATGCCCGTCATCTGACTTCCCTCCATGTCCACGCCCTTCAGGTTGGCTCCTGCCACACACACACACACACACACACACACACACACACATTCACATGAGTTCAACACCAACTCCAGCTTCAGATCTGTCTGAAGAACACGTGCGATTGGCTGCCCCACCTTCCAGATTGGCTTTGATTCCTGCAGGATCTTCAAAGTTACAGCCTCTCAGTGAAGCTCCTTCAGCGTTGGTGCACAGCATCTTCACACCCTGCAGGTTGGCCGCCTGACACACACACACACACACACACACACACACACACACACACACACACACACACACACACACACAGAGCGTGAACATGTGACTCATTTAGAGATTCAAGTGTAATGTTTTTTGGGAAACATGTGGCACTCACATCCAGAGAGGCCATGGACAGGTCGGCTCTCTCCAGGTTAGCCCCGCTCAGGTTGGCGTGGGTCAGGTTGGCTCCTCGCAGGTTGGCCATCTTGAAGTTGATGTAGCGCAGATCCAGACGAGATAGATCGGCACCATTAAAGTTCAGACCCTGAGAGACCACGAACACACACAGAGCGTTTTATAGTGGAGAGAATCTGTATCACATCAACAACAGCAGTTTAAAAGGTTTTGTTTGTAACTTTCAGCATCATCCTGGGCGTCGAAAGACTGAACGCTGTAAAATAACTGACAATCATATTTAGAATGACGTTACTACGGAGAGAGAAGGCACTCAGGAGCATAAAGGTCACATCCTTTGACCCTCCTCCCTACATAGAAACACATAGAAATCAGTCCACAGGCAGCAGAGGAACAAAGCTACACTACAACCCCATAAAAAGTGATTCTATCGCTCTTCGTCTTCTTTAAATATCTTTAAGGATGTTTGTGACTGGATGTGTGTTGGTTGTCTACCTGACACCGCAGCTCTGACTTGGTCGTGGTGGCCAGCAGGAATCTGATGAACTCTTTGCGGGTCAGAGGGGAGTGGTCATCAGGGGGCTGAGAGGACTGAAGAAGACAAACACAAGTCAAACCTCTGGCCCTGGAACTATACCGCAGTCTACAGGATGTGTGCTCTACAAACACGCACTCACCTTTATGAGGGTCTCCAGCTGTTCGGCGAGCTGTTCGATGCCGAAGAAGCGAGCCTCTTCCAGCACTCCTGCAGAGGGAAGACTGCAGGTCAGAAAACGCTGCGATGTGGGACTGGTTTTATGTTTAAAATGGCGTCTGTTATACCCAGAGGGTTGATGCCTTCATTGATGATGAGCTGTCCGTGTCTCAGATAGTTCAGAATGGGTTCAAAGTAGTCCGGACTGCGATCTATCAGGTACGCCCCCTGAGAGTCCTGCTTATTCCCCCAGACATCTGAGTGAAGCAGACAAACAATACATGTGACACCACAAAGTCAAATAAAGACATTCATCATTTCTATTTAAAGATTATTAATGTGTTTATTGAGTGACTTCACCTTTCTCTCTGAACATGTGAGCCAGCATACTCTCAGGCTCTTTACTGACCAGTGTGCTCCTGAGGAGAAACACAACCAGTTAACAATGCGGAGAACAGCAAACTCAACAACAGCTTAAAATGAACAACAACTAACTTTTAAATTAAATTAAAGACCTACTTATGTCCATACTGGCAAAACAAGTACGAAGGAAAATCAGTATTGCTTCAATGTCAATACAGAGTGTTCCCAAAAACTACAATATAAAACATTAAAATGTCTATTGTTGAGTTTTTACATTATCCCAAATCTTTCCAACAATGTTCAACCTCAGAGAAATCTGTCATTTTATTCAGGTAACGCTGCGTTTCACCGGTCGCCTGTCGATGGCGTCATATCCCCTTTGTGCCTGCGTCAGCGTTGTGGTTGTCTGCCAGAAGCTGTCATACATTGACTGTTGATCCAGTCTGAAGCCACATTGTTACCATCCACTGTTTAGATCTTGGTGCTTTTTAACTCTAGATTTGAACCGGATGAAGGATTTTAGTCATCGGACGTCTGGATCTTAAGTTATCAGAGAAACAAGCTGAGCTAACGTTAGCAGCAGCTCGGCTCGCAGCCCCTCCGGGACGTCCTTTGTCTGTCCAACAGCGTGGGAGAAGCAGTGATTGTTAAGGTGGAACTGCTTTATTCAGTGTGTTTAGTGGTTTTAATCAGCGGGTCTGTTTGTGTTGGAGAGGAGGAGACCTCTGTGGATCATTGGGCTCCCGGTAGAAACCTCCTGAACCATGAACACTGAAGGAATCCTAACCGGGAGAAGCTGACTGCAATGACACCAATGGTGGTGAAGACAACAACTCCCATGATCCCACACTGCTTCACCATCTCATTAAAATGTCTCTTTTGCCCTAGTGGCAAATTATATGTTGTACATTTAAAGAAGAGACTGAAAAACTTTATTCATCAATCAATTTTTAAGAACGGCCAAAATCTTCTTTAAGATTTCTCGAGACCCAACCACAATGAGACGAGTCACTTTTACCTCGTGGTGGTGAAACAGCGTCCACCGACGTTGAGCGTCAGCCAGTCGGTGTGAGTCTGACCCCTCTCGGCCCCGATGAGGTCTTCCTGTGGATCTACACACGGGTAAAGTTAACGACCACGAGGATCTTTAAATAAAGGATCTGAGTTCTTCTTCTTCCACGCTGCCGCACACTTACCTTCAAATGAATCTCCCTCTGACACGTACAGCACGTCATCGTCTCTGCAGACACACACAGGCTTCACCATTACATCAAGACTAACTATACACAGTATATTATAGATTATAGATTATAGATTATATATATAACAGCAGCACAGTGCAGTGATTCTGTTTACAGCTCAAACTACACATTTTAGGATGGAGTAACTCTTTAATGCACCAGTTATAATCATCTAATGATATCATATATAAAAGTTCAGTCAGTTTAATCCTTTAACATTTTACAGATTATATTACATAATTTACTTTACATGTGTAAATATGGAAGCTCATTTCTACGACGGAGTATTAGGGCCAGACTAAGAGGAAAAATAAATCAATAAAATATTGGAAATTACCAGAATAAAATCACAATAATACCAGAATAAAGTCGTAATACTACCAGAATAAAGTCGTAATATTACCAGAATAAAGTCGTAATATTACCAGAATAAAGTCGTAATAATACCAGAATAAAGTCGTAATATTACCAGAATAAAGTCGTAATAATACCAGAATAAAGTCGTAATATTACCAGAATAAAGTCGTAATATCACCAGAATAAAGTCGTAATATCACCAGAATAAAGTCGTAATATCACCAGAATAAAGTCGAATATTACCAGAATAAAGTCATAATATTACCGACTAAAATCACAATAATACCAGAATAAAGTCGTAATACTACCAGAATAAAGTCGTAATATTACCAGAATAAAGTACAAAAGAAGCTATTTCTTCCGAGTGATTTTTTCTTCGAAATAGAAACAGTCGTTTGTACAATCGTTTTAAAGTCCTGATACTGATAATAATTTGATGCTGCTGAGTAAAACATTTATTATTTCCTTATTTGTGAAACCGATATCAAAGTTTAACTTCACAAGATTCTCAACATTCCTCATTTTAACGCAGCGCGAAGAGTTCTCGTAATATTACGACTTTATTCTCGTATGTTTTTCTCTGAGTGTGGCCCTAACACTCGTATATTGCTGCCTAGTGACAAAAAAAAAGTATTTATGAGAATCCGTCTCAATATTTTAACTCTTTTTTGATTAGAATCATTTTTTTCTCGTCACATTTGCAGAAATTGGTTTTCATTATTTTGAGATACTACGTCATTAGTTTTACCCTGTAACATTGCACATGTACAGTTACATTACAGTCATATTCTACTTTATTGTCTATACTCTAGATTTCTGTTATATATACATTATATTAAATTATATATATTCTATTAAATTATATACATTCTATTAAATTATATATATTCTATTAAATTATATACATTCTATTAAATTATATACATTCTATTAAATTATATATATTCTATTAAATTATATATATTCTATTATACTTTAATATGTTATATTTTATTAAATTATATATATTCTATTATATTTTAATATGTTATATTTTATTAAATTATATATATTCTATTATACTTTAATATGTTATATTTTATTAAATTATATATATTCTATTATACTTTAAGATATTATCTTTTATTAAATTATATATATTCTATTAAATTATATATATTCTATTAAATTATATATATTATATTAAATTATATATATTCTATTATACTTTAATATGTTATATTTTATTAAATTATATATATTCTATTATACTTTAATATGTTATCTTTTATTAAATTATATATATTCTATTATACTTTAATATGTTATATTTTATTAAATTATATATATTCTATTATACTTTAAGATATTATCTTTTATTAAATTATATATATTCTATTAAATTATATATATTCTATTAAATTATATATATTATATTAAATTATATATATTGTATTATACTTTAATATGTTATATTTTATTAAATTATATATATTCTATTATACTTTAATATATTATATTTTATTAAATTATATACATTCTATTAAATTATATATATTCTATTATACTTTAATATGTTATCTTTTATTAAATTATATATATTCTATTATACTTTAATATGTTATCTTTTATTGAATGTGCTGTGTGCTGCTGTGTTGATCAATGAAGGTCTGCTCTCTTTATACCGACAGAGCTGTAGTCTCTGCCCGCAGCAGTAATGGGATTACTTTGCGTTACTGCAGCGGGACCTACCGGATCAGAGTGACGTCGTCGATGAGGCCGCCGTTCCCGTTATAAACACTAGAGGCTCTTATTCCCAGTTTGGAAGCGGCCACCGACAGTAAATCCTCCAGAGAGCCGTACACAGCCACCACCTGAGGGAGGACACCGACGACCAACAGCAGATCGATGGAACTGATCAGATACTTTATTCTTTATTCAACAACATGTAACCCTAACCCACATTCCCGGGTTTATCTTCCTCAGCTCACCTTCCCGTTGGTGGAGGACCCGTTGACAAACAGTGTGACTCTCCTCATGGTGAAGTACGATCAGTTAAACTCGTCTTCTGCTCCGAGTTTTATCCATTAAAACAAATTCTCAACAACAACAACAACAATCTCTTTCCTTCTCTGCCTCGCTCAAACGCAACCCGGAAGCGGAATCAGCCAATCAGCGAGTCAGAGAGAACCGCAACAGCCAATCAGGAAACAGAGGAGGCGGGACCAACACCGCAACACAAAACAGCTCAATATTTTATTTTATTTTATCTTATTTAATTTAATTTTATTATATTTAATTTAATTTAATTTAATTATATTTTATCTTATTTGTTTTATCTTATTTTATTTAATTTAATTTAATGTAATTTTATTATATTTTATCTTATTTAATTTTATTATATTTTATTTTGTTTTATCTTATTTTAATTTTATTATATTTATTTATTTTATTTTATTTTATATTATATTTTATCTTATTTAATTTTATTATATTTTATTTTGTTTTATCTTATTTTATTTTATTTTAATTTAATTTATTTTAATATCGCTTCAGTTCACACCCACTAACTCAGTCAGTTTCTGCTACTTTATACTATTTTATAACTTTAATTATACGACATATAATTAACAAACATTTCTTTGTACAGGATAAATGACATATATATTATTATATGCTATATATTATATACATTATGAAATAAAACTTCATCATTCATTCTCACACTATCCAGCTATATAATCAGTAATTGTAACCCAATAATAAACAGTATATTATACTGAATGTGTCATTCTGAGTGAGTAATCATTATTATTATTATTATTTATAATAAATATTCTTAATTGAGCCTAAATAAGGACATTAAAAGTCCAATTAACTGCAGGGAAGTTGATTAGTTTACAAAATATGAACTGAATAGCAGCACTTCATTATTTTAAACAGGTATAAAATCTTTCTGGCCTTCGGACCAAACACTTTGTAACTTTTAAGTATTTTTAACTTTGTCTGAGCATTGTTTTTAAATATGTAGTAAAATAATGTAAAAAAAATAACATGTGTTTTACAAAGAGCTTTATTAAACAAACAATTCACCGAGACATAAAATAAGAGCTCCTATTAAACAAACACATAACAACTGCAAAGAAATTGTGCAATTTAAGTCCCAGAGTTTGTTCATTTGGCAAAGAAAACTAATTACTAAGCCCCAAAATCAAACTTATATTTTTATTCTTTACTGTGACGGAGGCCGACTCATCCTGTACAACTCTGAAGTGCTCCGACTGGTTTGAGTCTCCTGTACTGGGAGCTGTGGGAACATTTCACATCCCCAAAACTCCATAAGTCCCGCCCCCTTTTTGCTCTGTGCTCCAATCACAGTGGAGCAAGCCTCAGTCAACTTCCTGCTTTCCTCGTACTTAGATATGCTAAGCTAGGCTAATAGACATTTAAATAGTCACATCTTAATCGGATTAATTGATTGGACCACAGAGCACAAAAGGGGCGGGGCTTCAATAGTGATTCAGCAGGTCAAAATATTAAAACAAGATATCAGGTAACATCAGCAAGAAACCGGAGACCAACTGATGTGTGAGCATTAAAAGTTACTTAATAACGCGGGGGTCAAAGTTCAGAGTACAGTAGGTCTGATAGTGTTCGCAGCAGCAGCAACACACTTTAAATCAAACAGAGAGAAACCAAGAATTTAAACACCTTCAATAAACAGTTAGCAGGTTTTCTGTCCATCAGATGAAGTAAAGTGGCTCTACGTGTGTCGAGGACCGCGGTCGGTCGGTAGGTCGGAGGTCAGCCCTCGTGTTGTAGTCGCTATGGAAAAGTGCTTCAAATAAGGCACATAAAGGGAAGACATTGATATCCAGTAAGGCTCAATGAGTGACAGATGTGGAATAACATCAGTCTGTGTTTGTGTCAGACTCACACAACCTACATGTGCACACCAGTAATCATCCTCTACTCAACCGTATCGAGGTTCTGTGTGTCCGAGGAGGTCAGAGTTCATCTGAAGACTGAATGTGTCTGAAATTGTGTGAATCTACTTTAAAAGATCAAACGTTCATCGTAAACTGACTTCTAGAGGAAACTTTCAATATGGTCACAAATGATTCTTTAATTTCATTCAGTCTTTGTCCTCGACACAATCACTCTAACTGACCGTGTCCTAAGTCCCGCCCCCTTTTCGCTCTGTGCTCCAATCACAGCTGAGCTAATCTATACTGAAAACACAACCACAGTTAGAAGATGGTCGTAAGATAAAAGAGACGTATATACAGTCACGTCCTCGGTTAGCTAATGTTAAGCCAGCGAGCTCTTTCTAGCTAATTGACAGCAATCGTTAGTTAGTTAGCGTTTAGCGAATATTAGCCAGATATATTAAGATTTATTTTTTTAGCTAGATATATTAAGAAGGGGCTTTATATGTTGCAAAAAGCTGAATAACTAGTTAACGATTGATGTAAATTAAGTAGCTGGTTAACTAGTGTTTTGCTAACATTAGCTAACAGAAGATGTGACTGTATTTATATGTATTTATATATTTATTTATATATATATTTATATATTTATTTATGTCTTTCTTTTATCTTTCAACCATCTTAACAATCAGGTTCTATTGGAGCAGAGAGCAGAAGGGGCGGGGCTTAGGAAGTCTACCCAAACATACGCACCAGTTTAAGATATCAACCTTCCTCATTGTGTTTTATGGGAAAATACATTTTGTACCATCATCATTCTCACAACGCAGTTCTTTCCCCCTCAATCCGAGCTGATAAACTATTCATTGCCGCTGTCCTCTGTGTCGTCGTCTCCACCCTCAGCCGGTCCGTCTCGCTCTCTTTCGGGGTAGTTGAGGATGTGCCGGTTGGCCTGAATGATGTACTGCTGCTGCTTGAAATACACCTTCAGCACTCCCTTGATCAACACAAAGGCGATGCCACCCTGAGGGGGAAGAGGACAGGGTTGAAGTCACAAATCCATCCATCGATTCATCTACCTGCCTATTTAACACCTTGATTCCACCGGGCTCGGCTCGATGACGTCATGTCCGTGGGTTGGTTTGGTCCGTCCTCGGGGAGCTTTCATTCCCCAACAGGAGGGTTTCAGAGGCAGAAACAGCGGTAATGAGTCTGAATGTGTCAGAACAAGCAGCAAGTAGACTGGACCTTTATTTATTCCAACACAGAGTAACATCACACAGTCCGCTTGTTCAATAACTTCCAACCTCACTGAAACTGATCGATACGATGGATGACTGATAACATTAACAGTTACTGACTGATTAACTGGTTTCCTCTCCTGTCGCTGCCTGAACCCGCCGGGTTTTCATCCCCAGAGTTAGAGTCCTGGTCGGAGCCGCTGGGGTACAGTGCGGGTACAGACAGCTACTGAGACCACTAACTAGCTAACAGCAGCTAGTAGAGAGAAAAGGTCTGTGTTGTAACAATCTGATACTGTCACTCAGGACAATGAACAGCGTCTAACAGAGTTAGATGTTCTTATTTTTCTGCGACTATCAGACTAACGAAACTACGTCCACTAAGACTCTTAGTGTTACTACTGACTTATATAATCTCTCCAGCAGGTTCTGGTTCTACCTCTGGGTCTCCTATAAAACCACCAAAGGAAGCTGCCTCGGAGGATCCTGATCTGATGTTAAACTCCTGTGGCCGGCTCAGTTGTGAGTGGGATCCGTCTGGTAAATTAAAAGCTTTGCGGCTGCCTCACATTTCCCACTGTAATGAAAGTATTCCTGTCTGAAACGAAAGGAAGAGGACGAGAGATATTCACCAGTACGGTGCGCTGAAGGTTCGAGGGCGTCCGTCTGAACAGCAGCCGTCCCACCAGACTGGCGATGGAGGGAAAGATGAGAGCGCCGCACAGAGTCCTGGACACAGAGAGGTGATCTCCTGCACCGGGTCCGTCGGCGGGGACACGGGGCAGATAATGACCTGTGCCTGGGGTAAAAACAGGTTCCACATATTTAAATTTAGATTAATATTAAGAGTAAAGTTCAGTACAGATTCTCATGCAGCTCCTTAAAGCACCTGGATGCAGTTTATCATCATGTTTCATTACAGGAGATAAATCTGCTCCTCACGAGATCTCACTCACATTCGTTTGTAATTTTTGCCTCGTTCATTTACTGAATCAAGTTTGAGTGAAACTTTTATTAAACACTGTTGTTGTTGTTGTCGTTGTTGTTATACCTGTAAATAAATGTTAATACCTGGCGGGAGCTTCCGTTTGAAGGAGTATCTCTGCCACAGCCTCACTATATAATCCTCCCAGCGGATCATCTTTCCCAGGACCAACGCCACGGGGATGGTGGGCAGACCCATCAACAGGAACAGCGGGTCGGCTCGCTGCATCACATCCAGCCCCTTCTTATGTCCGACGACCTGCGGGCGAGACACAAAGAGCCGACGGTCTCACAGGCTGTTACACTCTCTGCCCTCTCACCTCCTGTGTGACCGCCGCGTACCTGCATGACGGTCACCGCTCCGTATGTGACGGCCGACCAGTACACGGTCCCGACCACCACCCCGACGGCGGCGAAGGGACTGGCTCGGGACAGGGCTCGGTCTATCTGCTGGAGGAAATACACCAACGGGCCTGAGGAGAGGCAAGAACACATTTATCTTCAACAAACATTTACTGTTTTGTTCCCGTTTATTTTACAGATTCTTCTGTATTTTTTTAAAATACATTGGGATATTAATATCCTGTGAATTTACACGTCTAATGTGACATTAAGAATCTGTAACTAAATAATAATAAAATTACTGCTTATTTAAAGAAAATGTCCTTTTTTCCCACATAAAAACTTTTTTTTATTTTTTGTAAATATACTGTTTATATAATACATTAAACTGTTAATATTGTTTATACATTTCTAAAATGATGTTAAGTTATTGACTATTAATAGTAAAACTGTATTTGTTGTGTAATTTTACATGGATTTGTTAGTTAATTAACAGATATCTTGTATAACTATGAACGTTTTCACTACAAAAATATTGAATAAATGTTGTTTATCAGTGTATAAACATTGGTAAACTGTCCAAATACAGTTTTTATCAGTGTAAACAGCAATAATTACTGTAATTAACACAAATTATCACTTTTATTACAATTCTATAACTTTTAAAAGTCCGAAAAATAAATTAATAACGTCACTGTGTAAATATCTTTAATTAAACATTAAAAAGCCAAAAGATTACAAAAGATTTTATGTCAAATTAAAGCTAAAAACTGTATTTTAATTATAGAAAGTGAGTGTTTTTATGAGTCAGTTATTTTACTGTACAGCACCAAACGTGGATTCATCCCCAACAAAAGCCCCATTTACTCCTAGAAAGAGTTCTCAGCCGTTAACACAGAATAAACCCGTCGGTCTGTTGGAGAGAGAGAATAGTTACATTAAAGGTTTTTATCTAGTTGGGAATATTTATGCCAACCACAGTTATTTCCTACTGTTTCCATCCTGAGGTAGGAGCTGTGAGGTAGCTTTCACTCAGTCGGAACAACGCTCACGTACCCGTCTTGGGGAAGGTGATGGTGTACTCGGTGCCACATTGTGGACAGCTGACGGCTCCTCCGCTGTTTCCTTTCTGCTTCTCGTCCAGCCAGCGCTGCAGACACGACTGGTGGATCCACTTGGTACAGCCTTTACACCTGCAGGGGCTCACCCACTCCGCACTGTGGTCGTCTCTCTCGGTGGCAAAACACACCCAGCAGTGTCTGCGGAGAGCACACAGACACAGTTTGTAACCTGGTATATAGTTTAAACACTCTTAAATCCTAAAGAGATAAAGTGATGATTTAATATTCAGCTCTGACTCTTCAAATGTATTTTTTCTAGAGATAAACATTATGTTGTTTTTAGCTGATACAGATAAAATAACTGATCATTTTAAGTTCATCACCTGTAGTTTTTACCACAGCTGAGGGTACGACAGTCTCTAGATAGATGGTTTAATAATAATCTGCCTCCTTTCATCCTTTCATCGTAATAAAATCGAGGCAGAATGAAACGGTGGTTGTTTCTTACTTCTCAGGCTGCTCCTCAGCGAGGGCCATGGTAGTGAACGGGCTCTGCTCTCTGGGAGGTTATCATGAAGCCATCAGACTGCGGTTCACACACACACACACACACACACACACACACACACACACACACACACACACACACAGTTACATTAACTGATGCACAGTTAACGGCTGATAACACTGAAAATGTTCAAACACTAACATAATCCAATCCAATCCAACTTTATTTGTTAAGCACTTTAAAAACAACCAAAGTTGACCAAAGTGCTGTACAGGAGAATAAATAAGACATCATAAATGTAAACAGTGATGATGATGATGAAGACCACTGTGAGGAACATAGACAGTGATGATGATAACACTGGAAAGTTCCCGTGGCAGACCACAGGGACGAGGTCCCACGGTATATTGATTATAAAAGCTTCAGATAGACTACACTTGAATATTTGTATTTTATTTGACTTTCTACTCCACTATATATTTCTGAGAGCTGTAGTTAACAGTTGATAAACAGATTCAATCCAACCGGATTTAAAGTTATTGAAATGTAGTTTACTCACGTAAAACCTAGTAAATAATAATAATAATAATAATAATAATAATAATAATAATAATAATAATAATAATAGGAACAACAACCACTGTGGTCATCCTGAAACCAAACTAACTCAGTCTCATTATAAAGTGAAACCAAAAGTAAAAACATTATTTCCACCTTAAATAGAAGAAACAAGACAAATCCCCTCTGCCCTGAAGCCCCTGTCTCTTACATTAACTGCCCCTGTCTCTTACATTAACTGCCCTAAAGCCCCTGTCTCTTACATTAACTGCCCCTGAAGCCCCTGTCTCTTACATTAACTGCCCTAAAGCCCCTGTCTCTTACATTAACTGCCCTGAAGCCCCTGTCTCTTACATTAACTGCCCTGAAGCCCCTGTCTCTTACATTAACTGCCCTGAAGCCCCTGTCTCTTACATTAACTGCCCTGAAGCCCCTGTCTCTTACATTAACTGCCCTGAAGCCCCTGTCTCTTACATTAACTGCCCTGAAGCCCCTGTCTCTTACATTAACTGCCCCTGTCTCTTACATTAACTGCCCTGAAGCCCCTGTCTCTTACATTAACTGCCCCTAAAGCCCCTGTCTCTTACATTAACTGCCCTAAAGCCCCTGTCTCTTACATTAACTGCCCTGAAGCCCCTGTCTCTTACATTAACTGCCCCTGAAGCCCCTGTCTCTTACATTAACTGCCCCTGTCTCTTACATTAACTGCCCCTAAAGCCCCTGTCTCTTACATTAACTGCCCTAAAGCCCCTGTCTCTTACATTAACTGCCCTGAAGCCCCTGTCTCTTACATTAACTGCCCTAAAGCCCCTGTCTCTTACATTAACTGCCCTGAAGCCCCTGTCTCTTACATTAACTGCCCCTGAAGCCCCTGTCTCTTACATTAACTGCCCCTGTCTCTTACATTAACTGCCCCTGAAGCCCCTGTCTCTTACATTAACTGCCCTGAAGCCCCTGTCTCTTACATTAACTGCCCTAAAGCCCCTGTCTCTAACATTAACTGCCCCTGTCTCTTACATTAACTGCCCTAAAGCCCCTGTCTCTTACATTAACTGCCCCTGAAGCCGCTGTCTCTTACATTAACTGCCCCTGTCTCTTACATTAACTGCCCTAAAGCCCCTGTCTCTTACATTAACTGCCCTGAAGCCCCTGTCTCTTACATTAACTGCCCCTGAAGCCCCTGTCTCTTACATTAACTGCCCCTGTCTCTTACATTAACTGCCCCTGAAGCCCCTGTCTCTTACATTAACTGCCCTGAAGCCCCTGTCTCTTACATTAACTGCCCTAAAGCCCCTGTCTCTAACATTAACTGCCCCTGTCTCTTACATTAACTGCCCTAAAGCCCCTGTCTCTTACATTAACTGCCCCTGAAGCCGCTGTCTCTTACATTAACTGCCCCTGTCTCTTACATTAACTGCCCCTAAAGCCCCTGTCTCTTACATTAACTGCCCCTGTCTCTTACATTAACTGCCCCTGTCTCTTACATTAACTGCCCTAAAGCCCCTGTCTCTTACATTAACTGCCCCTGAAGCCGCTGTCTCTTACATTAACTGCCCCTGTCTCTTACATTAACTGCCCCTAAAGCCCCTGTCTCTTACATTAACTGCCCCTGTCTCTTACATTAACTGCCCCTGTCTCTTACATTAACTGCCCCTAAAGCCCCTGTCTCTTACATTAACTGCCCCTAAAGCCCCTGTCTCTTACATTAACTGCCCCTAAAGCCCCTGTCTCTTACATTAACTGCCCCTGTCTCTTACATTAACTGCCCTAAAGCCCCTGACTCTTACATTAACTGCCCCTGTATCTTACATTAACTGCCCTAAAGCCCCTGTATCTTACATTAACTGCCCCTGTCTCTTACATTAACTGCCCCTGTCTCTTACATTAACTGCCCCTAAAGCCCCTGTCTCTTACATTAACTGCCCCTAAAGCCCCTGTATCTTACATTAACTGCCCCTAAAGCCCCTGTCTCTTACATTAACTGCCCCTAAAGCCCCTGTATCTTACATTAACTGCCCCTAAAGCCCCTGTCTCTTACATTAACTGCCCTAAAGCCCCTGTCTCTTACATTAACTGCCCTAAAGCCCCTGTCTCTTACATTAACTGCCCTAAAGCCCCTGTCTCTTACATTAACTGCCCCTGTCTCTTACATTAACTGCCCCTAAAGCCCCTGTCTCTTACATTAACTGCCCTAAAGCCCCTGTCTCTTACATTAACTGCCCCTAAAGCCCCTGTCTCTTACATTAACTGCCCCTGTCTCTTACATTAACTGCCCTAAAGCCCCTGACTCTTACATTAACTGCCCCTGTATCTTACATTAACTGCCCTAAAGCCCCTGTATCTTACATTAACTGCCCCTGTCTCTTACATTAACTGCCCCTGTCTCTTACATTAACTGCCCCTAAAGCCCCTGTCTCTTACATTAACTGCCCCTAAAGCCCCTGTATCTTACATTAACTGCCCCTAAAGCCCCTGTCTCTTACATTAACTGCCCCTAAAGCCCCTGTATCTTACATTAACTGCCCCTAAAGCCCCTGTCTCTTACATTAACTGCCCTAAAGCCCCTGTCTCTTACATTAACTGCCCTAAAGCCCCTGTCTCTTACATTAACTGCCCTAAAGCCCCTGTCTCTTACATTAACTGCCCCTGTCTCTTACATTAACTGCCCCTGTCTCTTACATTAACTGCCCCTAAAGCCCCTGTCTCTTACATTAACTGCCCTAAAGCCCCTGTCTCTTACATTAACTGCCCTGAAGCCCCTGTCTCTTACATTAACTGCCCCTGTCTCTTACATTAACTGCCCCTGTCTCTTACATTAACTGCCCCTAAAGCCCCTGTATCTTACATTAACTGCCCTAAAGCCCCTGTCTCTTACATTAACTGCCCCTGTCTCTTACATTAACTGCCCCTGTCTCTTACATTAACTGCCCCTAAAGCCCCTGTATCTTACATTAACTGCCCCTGAAGCCCCTGTCTCTTACATTAACTGCCCCTGCTCTGACCTCATGCTAACGGCTAACGGCTAACGGCTAGTGAACTTTAACGTTGAGCTACAGCTAAGCTAGGCTAACCGGTAGCTGCTGCTCGCTGTCTGTCGGTTTAA